TGTATCAGACGTCATCGTTCCTCTACAAGTGCAAATCGGTCCCTTATTTCAGTTAATGCATGATAATGCACGACCGCACACCGCAAGAGTTGTAAGACAGACTCTCGCCGCAGCTAACATCAATGTCCTGCCCTGGCCTGCTCAGTCGCCAGACTTGAACCCGATTGAGCATGCATGGGATATGCTACAGAGAAGAGCTCTGCCGAATATGGAGGGTATCCAGTCGCAAGAAGACCTTTTTTTGTTGTTGCAACGAACATGGGCGGCCATTCCACAGCGTGATTTGGATGAACTCATTTTGAGTATGCCAAACCGATGTTCTTGTGTTGTTAGTGTTCGCGGTAGAAATACGGATTATTAATTGTTTAAGTTACCCAATAAAATTTTAGAGAAAACTGTTATTTCAGTCTTTTTTTCGAACTTTTGTGTTAGTGGTTCAAATGTCAAAAATCCCTTTATTAGGAAAATGGCAAAGGACATCGACGAATTCGGCCCTAGCATGCCTAAAAGTTCACTATTATTTTTCTATTATTTTTTTAACTTATTAGCAATTAATCATAGTAAACGGACAATCTGTTTAAAAAATAAAAGTTCTGTTACTAGATACTACAGTCTGTTCATCCAACTTGGCACTCCTTTTTATTGAAAATACAGCATTAAAAATCAACTGATAACTGGATTCAATAGGTTTCAGTATATAATAACGATTTATTTTAATAGTTTATTTTCTTCGTTAATATTTTAATATTAAATGGGTGATTCTGTTAAAAAGTTGTGCCAAGATTGTTTATCTTAGTTATGCAATATAGGCGACCATAGGTATTTATCAACATAAAAGTTACAACATATAACCTTAGTTAATAATACTTATTACTAGTATTTATATTATATTTATAAAAAGATTATTTCTGAAATTATCTAAAGATAGTTTATACTCCCATCCCATGTAATATCTGTTTATTTTTATGAAAATCATAATGATAACCAGGTACATACCTAATTACCGTTAGTAAAATATCATCATCATCATCATCAGCCTATTAACGTCCCCACTGCTGGGGCACAGGCCTTCCCTATGGATGGAATAGGGAGATTGGGCCATGACCCACCTCGAGGGCCCAGTGCGGATTGGTGGGTGCTAACAACTGCAGTTGCAGCCGTAAAATATAGAAACAGGTAAATGGAAAGACTGAACATTTCATTTGAAAAGAAATCTATCATTACTTACTACAGGTAAAATCAATATGAATATAAGCATTTATTATTTTTATTATAAATTGCATTTTATGTTCATTTAATGCATATTATTTAAGTGCTTACATAGGGGTAAACACTAAATCTATTCAGAATATATAAAGTGTACATCTTTTATGATTAAGTATAATAATTATAACCTCAAAATCTAATACATTCTGTAGTAGGCCACGGTTCCTCAAGTTGTCCGTATCTCAACAAATGCTTATTTAGAGTTTATGAATGATTCCGAACACAACTAGCATTTTCTCATTGCTGGGCGTTCTAGGGCATTCAATGTATGGGGAACGAGCAATGTCCTTTCTTTATTAATGCAAAGGTGACTTGGTTTATCGTTACTGTGACAAACGAAAACACTTTATTTGATGAATCCTTAAAGAAAATTTTAATTAATATCAATCAGGAGAAAAGTTATTGCAAAAATATATGTTGATCCCTAGACACTTTTGATGTGTGTAGTTCTAAAAAAAAGTCCGTGACACCATATATCTATTTTTAATGTGTAAGTCATTACCGCTAAAATAGTGAATCAAAACTTAAATATTATTTGATATCTATTTCCAAAATGCACATTTTGTATAAACAAATCATTTTTTATCAAAACAAATACTTTAATCGCTTTTGATATGTAAAGACGATAAACTTTGCTTTTTACACTATGTCATTTCGACAAATATTTAAAAAGTTACAACGATGACAAAGTGATAAAAGAAAATTTGATAATAAATGAGATTGCTATGGTGCTCTACCTAACGTTATGAAAATTTTATTATGCGCCTTTAGTTTAATCAAATATTATAAACTTTGCTTTGGTGATTGCATAATTATTTAATTTAGTGACCTAAGGCAGTTGCCACCATTGTCCAAAACAACAGACGGGAATTACTTCTTGCTTCAACCTGCGACATAAACGTCATTGATTGGTATTGTATATAGGATGATTAAAAACATTTGAAATTAACTTCTAGCATCTACATATTGGGTTTCTGTGAATTATGTAGGTATATCAAATTAAGTGACTAGGGACTGACACTGAATTTGTGTATATCACATTTTTGTTTTAATCTAAGATATCACAATCTTAGACGTCCGGCATTGACATGACAATGCAGCCACTGCCAATTTTAAATAGTGGACGAATAAAAGTAAATGAATTTTATATTTACTGCTAAACTATTAAAAAAAACATAAACAAAAGATGACTTTTTGAGTAAGTGCTAGTTTACTATAAAATTTACATACATTAGAGATATTTATGTAACGACTTGATTTAACTTCACACATTTTTGCGAAAATTGAGGCCCATCTGTAGCCTTGACCCCGCTGGTAAAGTCTTTATATGTCTTAATAAATCAATCTTTTAGACCGACGCAAGGTACTTAATAATTCCCGCGATATTAATTCCCTTAGAGAAGTAACAAGACTACGGTATATACCGTCTTAAAATACTAACTAAAAAGTGTGAAATAAAAAAGGTAAATTTAAAAAATCAAAAAACCCGACTGCTTAATTATTCTTCAAATAAAAACTGAAAAGAAAAAAACAAGTCCAGTAGTCTATAATTCTGTTAATAAGGAACAAAGCTACTTTAACAGTCGGGACCCACTGTTGAAAAATATTATGTATTCTTGAATATCTAATGGGTCCCGACTGTTAAAGTAGCTTTGTTCCTTATTAACAGAATTATAGACTACTGGACTTGTTTTTTTCTTTTCAGTTTTTATTTGAAGAATAATTAAGCAGTCGGGTTTTTTGATTTTTTAAATTTACCTTTTTTTTATGAATAAAGTTTACGGACGGAAAGACGACGATCTAAATAAAATCCAAGGTTCATTGTGGGTAGCTAAGGCTACTGTAACAGCAATATATGATAGGAAAATCTGGAGTAAAAATTAGGGAGCGGGTCAAGCACCCCTAAGCCCTTGCAAGAGCCCTGTAAAGTTTGCTTATATCTTCTTTATGCTTAAAGTAAAAGAATATGCCAGCCCTCATACCGCCCAACAATATTTCTTGATTTTTAAAACTTCATGAATTTCTTTTACTAATACATACCTATATGCACGTGGCATGATATTTTCTAAAGCTAAATTGATAGTCAGGTATGACTTTGAATCCTGCTATTACAGTGTTTATTAGTTTTATAAATTACTAGCGGCCCGTCCCGGCTTCACACGGGTGTATTAAATACTATGGAAACATAATGAATTTTCAATACAACTTTCTATTAGCGAAAGAATTTTTAAAATGGGTTATTATGAGTCATTCAATATATCCTTTTCCCTCTATATATACTCGTAATAGTATAGAGTATAGAATAGATATAGAAGTATAGATATATATTCGGTAAACTAAAGACTGCTCGAACATTATGCCCAGTTGTCATTCAGATGTAAAATTATTATATTAAGTTTAAGCTTTAAGATAATTTTGTTAATAACAAATCAGAGCAAATCTGCAGAAAACAGGTCGAATATCTGAAATCTACTTAGTCAGAGGCATGGCCACCCTGATTTTTCAGCTTCGCAAAATCTTTCTAAGTAAATGGGTCGAGTATATTAAATCTATTTTTTTTATATAATTTATTAATGACCATGGATACAAGTCCTTCAGTCGTATACATAAATACAAATCTTAATCTTATTTTTTCTCTTGACTTGACCGGAATAGCGTACATTTTAAAGATTCCACTAATTCTTCAGTTGCGCAGATGGTTGTAACACAGAATCACACCAATTTTATTTCACAATATCCACTATGAATGAATTTTAATTATAATTAAAATAAGACGCCAGCAGCACTCGATGAAATCCCGCCAAAAACTCCAACACACATCAATTTGGCCATGGGCATGGCCATCCTGATTTTACTGTTTAGCAAAGAATTTCTTTTAGGCATATAGGTTGAATATCTTTTTATCCCGGAATTCCCAAGGGAACTGGAACTTCGTGAGTAAAACCGCGGGGCGCAGCTATCTATTAAGTAATGTTTATGCAAAATTTACAGTCAATAGGTCCAAGGGATAAGCTTTTACGAACAAACCTGAATTTAAAAAATCCCATCTTATTACTTGTCTAGACAATAATAGGAACCTACTGTCCAAATTTCATCATTCTAGGTCCAGCCGTTTCGGCTGTGCGTTGAATTTTTATAATTTTAATATGATGAGTATCCCTCTTACAACTAAGAAAAATCTAACTTCACCTCTCAAGCCAAAAAACCATCAAACCGCTTAGGCTGCAGTGCTAGCCAAAGAAATATAAATGCACTTGAAAAACATTTTTGGCCCTGCAATGACTAAGACCGCCCCTGATTGAGGGTTCTTTGTTTTTCTACTATGTATAATATATGAATGAAAATATAATTATAAACACAATTTTATATTTTATACTCTCTCTCTCTCTTATCGAAAATAGGAGCATAGACTGAGTAAAATTATAATTATGACGACCTCCGTGGTCGAGTGGTTTGTACGCCGGGTTTCATGGAGTCGCCGATTCGAGAGGTCCCGGGTTCGAACCCGGTGAGGGCAGATGTTTTTGTGATGAATACGTGCATTTGTACTCTAGTCATGGACGTTTAATATGTATTTCTATGTAAATATACTTATATATGTATTCTATCCGTTACCCTAGTATCCCATAACACAAGCCTTATAGTGCTTACTTTAGGGATAGGCTAATTGGTGTGTGTGTTGGAAATATTTATTTATTTTCTATTAACACATTTCGGAAAAATAAAAGACAACGTTTAATTAAGAATCATTTATTTGCAATCGTAAGATAATGTAAAAAAGTTATAAGACTAGGTCACACGTTATAAAACTAGCAGATCTTTGGAAAATGTGCACATATCGATTCGTTTAGGAATCTTAACTACATAGCTATCTTGTTTCCAAACAGCGACTGGAAAATGCCTCCGACCCAACCGCCTTGTGGTTCTCTGAAAATAATCACATTAACACTTTAATGATCTAAAGTCTAAAGGATTAATTAAAAATCTTCGCTAGAACAACTCCCAACTCGAAAGTGACAACTCACTTTAAGAAGAAGAAAAACAATATTAAAAAAAAGGTAAATTTAAAAAATCAAAAAACCCGACTGCTTAATTATACTTCAAATAAAAACTGAAAAGAAGAAAACAAGTCCAGTAGTCTATAATTCTGTTAATAAGGAACAAACCTACTTTAACAGTCGGGACCCATTAGATATTCAAGAATACATAATATTTTTCAACAGTGGGTCCCGACTGTTAAAGTAGCTTTGTTCCTTATTAACAGAATTATAGACTACTGGACTTGTTTTTTTCTTTTCAGTTTTTATTTGAAGTATAATTAAGCAGTCGGGTTTTTTGATTTTTTAAATTTACTTTTTTTATTTCACACTTTTTAGTTAGTTAGTATTTTAAGACGGTATATACCGTAGTCTTGTTACTTCAGTAAGGGAATTAATTTCGCGGTAATTATTAAGTACCTTGCGTCGGTCTAAAAGATTGATTTATTAAGACATATAAAGACTTTACCAGCGGGGTCAAGGCTACAGATCAGCCTCAATTTTCGCAAAAATGTGTGAAGTTAAATCAAGTCGTTACATGAATATCTCTAATGTATGTAAATTTTATAAAACTAGCACTTACTCAAAAAGTCATCTTTTGTTTATGCTTTTTTTAATAGTTTAGCAGTAAATATAAAATTCATTTACTTTTATTCGTTGACTATTTAAAATTGGCAGTGGCTGCATTGTCATGTCAATGCCGGGCGTCTAAGATTGTGATATACACAAATTCAGTGTCATTCCCTAGTCTCATAATTTGATATACCTACATAATTCACAGAAACCCAATATGTAGATGCCAGAAGTTAACTTCAAATGTTTTTAATCACCCTATATACAATACCAATCAATGACGTGTCGCAGGTTGAAGAAAGAAGTAATTCCCGTCTGTTGTTTTGGACAATGGTGGCAACTGCCTTAGATCACTAAATTAAATAATTATGCAATCACCAAAGCAAAGTTTATAATATTTGATTAAACTAAAGGCGCATAATAAAATTTTCATAACGTTAGGTAGAGCACCATAGCAATCTCATTTATTATCAATTTATAGTTCTCTTTGTAGTTTTCTTTTAAAGCGTTCACTTTTAACAGGTGTTGTGGTGTGACTTTGTGTTCGTCCCTTTTTTATTGGTAGTGTAAAGCTCGAATGAAAAGTACTCCCAGTAGTGCAATCATGGCAAATATTTACAATTTTTTTTTGTTTAAAAAAATACCGAATAACGTATCACTGTTAAGCACAAACGCTAAGTAACTTTTACAAATATAATCAAATAAACCTATTACTTACTTTCTTTTTAAATCCGTTTCATCAATTAAATACATATCTTACCCTAACTATCTATACTAATATTATAAAAAGGCAAGATTTGTATGTTTGTAACAAATGATCTGTCAAACTACTGAACCCGTTTCAAATATTAATTCATCATAAGGTAGCTACGTTATTTATTATAACATTTTTCTTTATTTAAATACATTTTGTCCGAGTGACATAGGCTATATTTTATCCCGATAAATAAATTTCGCCCGTACAATGCCCGGGTGGATCACTAGTAAGTATAATATAATATTATAGATGCGAAAGTGAGTTTGTTTGTTGCGCTTCCGTGCCTTAATAGCTAAATCGAATATAATGAATTCCCATATAGAAGTAGATGGGAACTTGGTTCTTAGCTACAACATCGCAATACTTATAGGCGTAGGGTGGTGAAAGGGGTGATTTACCTATAAAAATCTACATTACTTACTTTGAATTTTGCAGAATTATTACAAAACCAATATTATCGCGAGCTGATTAATAAATACAGGGATTCCAATAAGTATGTACTTACTAGCGAAAAATGGGTTATTTGTCATTATATTAAGTAAACCTTTTTTGTAACATTAAGTAATATCGTTAAAAAAAATGAAAAACAGGGAAATTCTGAGTTTTTTATTAAAATTCAATAATCATAAATACCTATTATGATAATATATTTTTCATCATTTAATAAGAAGGAACTGTATCACAGTTTTATTGTTAGTACTTCGTATAGGATCAGATACTGCGAATACCCCATTTTTTTTTCTTTTACATAGTACACCGCGCTATCACTTTGTCATCGTTGTAACTTTTTAAATATTTGTCGAAATGACATTGTGTAAAAAGCAAAGTTTATCGTCTTTAAATATCAAAAGCGATAAAAGTATTTGTTTTGATAAAAAATCATTTGTTAATACAAAATGTGCATTTTGGAAATAGATATCAAATAATATTTTAGTTTTGATTCACTATTTTAGCGGTAATGACTTACACATTAAAAATAGATATATGGTGTCACGGACTTTTTTTAGAACTATTTAAGGAATATGTAACTTTTATTGTTTTTGCAGTGCAGGCCAAAATGGCTCGCAGATGGGAGATTTTTTTCCGTCTTATGTGACACTTATTGTTAAATATTGGCCAATTCACTCAATAACTACATAAATTATTATATATATGTAATTATCATATATGAGCTATATTACTGTTAAGTTTCACTAAAATCCATTCAGTATTTTTTAGGTGAAAGAGTAACAAAGATCTAAACGTAAGATTGAAATTAAAAGCGTAAGTGGTTAATATACAACTTTAAAGCGTTGTAGATCCTAAACAATCATATAAAATGAAAAATGGTGTTAGAAACCTAAACATGATTTTCGATTATCTAGACAGTGATACCCCACTCGACATATTTTGTCAACTTATTTTTTTTACTTCGTCACAATATGGCGCCTAATTTTGCCCATATTGAATTTTGATTACTATCATATCTTTAGTAGCACTCCCATGATTGAGACGAATCGATTGATGTATGAATCATCAAAATCGGTCCAGGCGTTTGGTCTCTAGTGTGCCACAAAGGAACAAACATACATATATGGACTGTTAAACACATAACCCTGTCTGCGCGTCGCGCTTCGCGCTCTTGCATTGCGCAGCCGGGTAAAAAGCTCTTAATTACAGAGAGCTTGTAGTCGCAGTACTTAGAGCGGTCAGTGTGCGATTATGGAAGTAAAGCAACTTTTGCAAGGGTCGCTCATGGGATGGGTGATCAAAAATCACTATCCGGAGGTCCTCCGTGAATGTAGGAAGGAACATTAATCCAGCCTGCAACTAACTGTTTGTTGCATATTGTTACTACTCACCGATCATCGAGCCCGCGTTTTAGATCATAGTCATATTTGTTTCTTAGAGAGAGAGAGAGAGAGAACCATTTTATTGACCAATAAAACACAAACATATAATTATAAACTGCTAAAATAAAAAAGAAATAAAAAAAAGTAAGCATTACACACATTTATAAACAGCCATCATATTGGTCAATCAGGACTCTCCCTAAGCATAATGCTGCCGTGACATGTAACTAAACGTGTCACGACAACGCTGGTATTCTGACAGGGCCTGTATGTATACAATATAATAAATTTAAAAAAATAATACGAATAGATTTATAATTAGATAAAAGTGCTTAGTGCAAAAATGAACAGAATCTAAAAAATAAATAAATATATATGTAACCCAGTATCATTAGCTGTGTTATGTTATTCTGTATTTAATCTGTGATTTGGCTTATCACTTTTTAGAATTGAAATTCTTAGGTTTTCACGCACACCACTCATTAAACAAAACAAGTTTCAACGGTATAGATGCACTCAGTAACTATTTATGACGTTTCGCATCCTTTTCAGGCTAATAATTCTGACGACACAGCCTGATAAGAATGCGAAACGTCATAAATAAATAAATCAGTACCCCTAGCACGAACCATTATCGAATTCGAATAGTTTGCAAACCGAAAAGTCAATGTAAACGTAAAAGTATGGAAACTTGAACAGCACAAAGTACGTAACGAGAACTAAAAATCAGTACACATTTGACAATGACATTTCGGACTCGCAAACGATACGAATTCGGTATTGGTTCGTGCTAGGGGTACTGTACCCACCCACAAGTTTCCATACAAAATTTGACATTGACATTTCGGTTTGCAAACTATTCCAATTCGATAATGGTTCGTGCTAGGGGTACAGTTTATCTTTACCGTTGAAACTTATTTCGTAGTCATATCCCAATCTCCCTATTCTCTCTTACTCCAAAACGAACTTTTCGTTTACAAAGTTCAAACGAAATTTAATTTTGTTAATTTGAGGTTTGAACGTTATCTAATATATTAAATTCTCATGTCACGGTGTGCGTAATTGAACTACTCCAAAACGGCTCGAGTGATTATCGTGAAATTTTATATGCATATTCAGAAGGTCTGAGAATCGGACAACATCTATTTTTCATCCCCCTAAATGTTTAAGGTCCACACTTAAATTAGTTTTATTTTTTGGACATTTTTTTTTGTTTTTATTTTTTTATGATACATCATACAAAAATACACACAACTCAGGATCAATCAATCAATCTCAAATTCTTTGTTGAGTAGGTAAGGTAGGTTTAGATAAATCTTAACCTCAATCTAGAGCAAACGAATATTATTATAATTAGAAACGAATATGAGATATAGAAAGAAACGTGCGAAGTTTCCATCGAAATTGCTTTTTTCGTTGAATCAAAGAATCCTTTGCCCCAGCAGTGGGGGCATTAAGCTGTACCCTTAGTACGAGTGCGAGCTGACGAAAACTATCATAGTTTTCGTAATTGTAAATTATGTTCCTATGTCCATTTTGGTGAAAAGTAACCAAATATATACTTAAAATTTAAGAAGACGCAAATGATTTAATGATAGCATTTAAACACTGTTCATTTGTATTGAAACGAAAACAATAAAATCAGTACCCTTAGTACAAGTGCGAGCTCACGAAAACTGATGCTGAGTTTAGTTTAATAAGTTCACTTACTCTTTCTTGCAGTTGTACATGTTGTTCACCTTTTTGACATCGCCCCTACTCAGGCCCTCTCTCTGGCCGAGTTTTACGCCGCCCATCTGCAACATACACGTTGAATAGGATTTAAATGTTTGCAATAAGTAATAACTTTTTTTTAAAGTGAAACTTTTATTACATTGCCACAAAATTTTCCATTCATTTTTAGCATGTCAAGAAAAAAAATTAAGTTGCTGTTGGATTCCTAGGACAAAGTTGCGTGCGGAAGTTAGTATTAAATATTTAAAGCTATCATCACCTTTGGCTCTATGGTCTTCTTGTTGTTTCTGGAGAAAGCGTATTCGGAGTAATGCATGACGCTGTTGTAGTCATAAGTGACGCCGAAGTCGTTAGTGTTCTTCGCGTCTGCCTTCCTGAAGTTGTTCTCTGTGCCTGCACAACAATGATAGAAATTTAAAGTTCTAATGCTCCACAAGGTACGGGATTGGTTCAAGGCAGGCTACTGCGCAAGTATGTAGGTACTTGGTATCGCATTGTGTATTATAGATAGGGACACGATATCGAATAGAAAGTATCGATACTGTACTCATGAGTAGTATCGGTAAAAAAGTATCGTACTCGTAAAAGTATCGAAACAAAAGTATCGATACTTCAAAGTATCGAGTACATTTCATAGGGCCTTATCGGATCCTCTGTGGCCCGATGAGCAACCCCCCCCCCCCCACCCCGGGTTAAAAATTGAAAGAAAAACAATCCAATTTTATTATAGAACAGTAAAAGGACATATAAATTCACAAATTGCTATATTATATAATGAAAAGAAAATAGCTGTGATTTCTGACACTTAAAAAGTGTTCATTAATATCACATTAATAATTAAAATGTTACTTGAATCTGACACGCAGTTAACGGCGGCCATTGGCATGCTTCACTCAATATTATAATTATAGAAGAGGTTACGTCCGTTTTTTTTTCAGGTCCGTGGTTTCAAATAGGTATACACAGCACAGACAGAATAATAGTGTTACACTTGAATACATTTTTTTTTTTTTTTATAGTTAGGTCCGACAAATGACTCCACCCCACCTGATGTTAAGTGAAGGTGAAGTCCAGACGCGAAGATAGCTGATACAGCAGTTCTACCTGCCACACCAGCCATCCTCACCCTGCCGGCCTGCATGTTGCTTCTTCACGCCTCTTTTAAAGGATCCCAGGTTGTAAGAGGGAGGGAACACGTGAGCGGGCAGAGCATTCCATTTACGGATAGTGCGACAAAGAAATGAGTCACCAAATTTCTTTGTACGCGTTGGAATTGTGGCCACAGTAAGACGGTGACAACGTAGGCCAGCGCGCGTGGTCCTCTGAAGGAAAGGGGAAGGTGGGATAAGAGAGAATAACTCCTCAGAACACTCGCCGTGGTACAAACGATAGAACGCGCTTAGTGACGCCACGTCACGGCGTAATTGAAGAGGCTCAAGGTGTTTAGTCACTTCCTCATCGCCTATGATGCGGATCGCGCGCCGCTGTAACCTATCCAAAGCATCGAGCAAGTACTTGGCGGAGCCATCCCAGAGGTGCGAGCAATATTCCACGCAGGACCGCACTTGCGTTTTGTACAACAAGCACAGTTGATCGGGCGCGAAAAAACGCCGCACCTTGTTCAGGACTCCGAGTTTGCGTGAAGCTGTTTTGATCACGGTTTCGATGTAGTCCTTTGGATTCAGGTCTGAGCGAACTTCCATACCGAGCATGGAAATGTTGCTCTGCAGCGGTAGTGTTGTGCCCTGAAGAGATGGAAGGGGAAGGAATGGCGATGTTTTTGCCGTGAAAGCGCAAGCCTGAGTTTTCTTGGCATTGAACCCAACCAAGTTCCTGGTACCCCATTCGGAAATGTGGTCCAAAGCCTGATTGAGCTCAATGACAAGATTTTCCCGTTTCTCCCTGGTTACTGCCCGCCCAGCCGCTGCTTGTCCGAGATACCCCGCATGCACTGTACTATCGTCTGCATAGCAATGAATATTCCCAAGAGGAATCAAGTCATTGATATGGATAGGACGGAGCCCTGGGGAACGCCGGCATTCACTGACATGAACCGCGAACTGCTACCATCCGTAAGGACACGAATTCTACGCTCATGCAGGAAGTCAGCTACCCAAGAACAGAACTGGGCTGGCAGACCGTATGCCGGAAGCTTGGAGAGAAGGCTTTTGTGCCAGACCCTGTCGAACGCCTTGGCAATGTCAAGGCTGATAGCCAACGACTCGCCACGCTTGTCGATAGCCTCACCCCAGATATGAGTTAAGTACGCTAGAAGATCACCCGTCGATCGTTTCGGTCTAAATCCATATTGACGATCATTAATCAGGGAGTGATCCTCTAGGTAGCGGGTCAGATGGTTATTAAGGACCTTTTCTAGAACTTTACATAAAACTGAGGTGACTGCTATTGGCCGATAGTTTGCCGGGTCTGAGCGATCCCCTTTTTTGGGCACCGGTTGCACGTTAGCATCTCTCCAAGTCTCCGGCACACGCCCCAAAGAATACGAGCATTGGTACAAGCGCGTGAGCACGGGAGACAACTCCGCTGCACATTTTTTAAGTACTACTGCTGGGATGCCATCAGGTCCACTAGCTTTCCGGACGTCGAGTGATTGCGATTCGGCACGAACCTCACGCTGCCTGATTTTAATATCAGGCATCGTTGTGCCACAGTGAGGTAATGATGGTGGCAGTGCATTGCAATCATCGATTCGGGAGTTAGCCGCAAAGAGTTTTGCCAGTAAATCGGCTTTCTCCTGCGGCTTATGAGCTAGTGTTCCGTCTGGGCATCTCAGAGGTGGCAGCGAGGGCTGGCAGAAGTTTTTTTGCACGGCCTTGGCCAAACGCCAGTAGCTACGGGAGCCCGCAGGATGCGTTATAAGTTCCTGGCCAACACGTGCAACACGCTGGGCATCCGCTCTGATGTAAGCCTTCTTACAGGCCTTGGAAGCAGAATTGTAGGCTGCTTTGAGTGAGTCGACCCCGGGATCCTTGAGAGCGCGGCCTCTGATCCAAGCACGATATGCCGCTTGCTTACGCGAAGCAGCTTCAGCACAGTCGTGATTGAACCAGAGGTTACGTGTGCCCTTACTGATGAGATCAGAATGAGGAATATAGTATTCCATACCCATTATGATCTCCTCAGTAATGGCAACGGCACTGCCCGATAGGTCCCTGTCACTGAAGCAGCGCTGCTTCCAAGGGACGGACGCAAAGTAATCACGCATACCGTCCCAATCTGCCGACCCATAATGCCAGATACGGCGCTTGACCACTGCTGGACGCGGAGGCTTGGCCTGTGGTGCTTTGGCAGATATCAGGCAGTGGTCGGACGAGCCCAGGGGGGCTCTTACCACAACCTGATAGCCCTGTGGATGGGTCGTGAGCAGAAGGTCCAGTAAAGAAGGCGCTTGACTTGGAATATCTGGGATCCTGGTGGGCTGATCAACCAGTTGCTTCAAGTCATGCGTGAGAGCGAATGTGTGAGCAGAGATCCCTGCATGGTCAGTTTTGGAAGAACTTAACCACAAATTGTGGTGAGCATTAAAGTCCCCCAAAAACACCAATTCTGCATTGGGAAATCATCGCCGGTGTGGGATCTGTAGAGGCACACGTAGACTCTGGCCCGGGGGCCAGAGTCGACGTGTACCCCCAGCATGGAGAAGGAGGGATCTTCCAAGCAGCAGAGACGGCGACAACAAACATCCGCCCGAACATACAGGCATACACCGGCTATCGCTTTGAAGGACTCTTCAAGCACGTAGCCGGGATAATTAAGGTAGCCTGTGTCAGCAGGCGGAAGTATTTGTGTCTCCGTCAGGAACAACAATGCTGGCCGTGCTGTCTCGAGATGGTGGTGGACAGCGTTGAGGTTAGAGTGGAGTCCGCGTATGTTGCAGAACTCGACCTCAAACAGCGTTGAAGGCGTGGGGGTGTGCACCGCTGTACGTCCAAACTTTGTTATTGAGGCTGCCATGGTGGAAGTGAAAAAAAAAGAGACGCGAAAACGAGCGGACGCCGTCGCGAAGAGTCCGGGCAAATAAGGGGGGTTTGTCTTGCCGATTGACTGCCTGCAGTGGAGATGCGCCGACCCGCCGGACGGAAGGGCCCCCGCACTCCCCCGGGAGTGGCCGCCGGGACCCCACGCCCCGGTCACCAACCGGCACGACGGTCCACCCCGAGATTATGCGTGACATGATGGGGCAGCCTCGCGAACTGGTTAGGAACGCTTGGGCCCCTGTACTGTGCCACGGGCGGCCAGCGGGACAGCCGTTTCTACGGGTCTCCCTGGCCGACGGGTCGATGCAGTCCTCCCGGCATCGGTTCCACGGATGCCTCCCCTGGACCGAATCCTTCGCGACAACTTCCACTCGAGCTCTGGTTGTACGCTGGCTGACCCCGAAACGCGCGAGAAGCACTTCACGGGTTTTTCACCATGCGCACGGTGGTAACAAACCAGGCGGGTGTTAGGCACCTTACCACCAGAAGAGCGGATGGAAGCTCCGACATCCCTTAGTCGCTTCTTACGACACCCACGGGAAGAAAAGGGGCGGTGAGTTGTATTCTTTCTCCGTCACCGCACGGATTAAACACAAAATTATTAAACATCAAATGCAGTCAAGCGAAAAGCACAATAAACGGCGAATCATCAATCACAATTCCTAACAATATGGTCGCTAAATAAATAACTATGAAACAAAACAAAGCGCAAAATAAACACAGTCACAGATTGGAAAGAATTTGAATATATCATAACAATATGAGGCGCTTATCCAAATTTTAAAAGTATCGATACTTACTTGCCAAAAAGTACTCGATAAGTAAAAGTATCGAATACAAAGTATCGAGTACAAAAGTATCGGTATCGAAAGGAAAAGTACTCGATACCACAAAGTATCGATACTTTTTTCGTGTCCCTAATTATAGACTATGGAAGGTGCTGTCCGACGGCCTGTGTCGTCGCGGGCGCTGCCGCGCCGCGCAGGGTAGCCAAACTTATGAGAACAATAGACAAAACACTAAACGACACGAGAGAAGCGATGCGAATACAGCTAATGTGCACTCTTAGAAAAATTATTGGTCTCCCTTAAAATCAATCACATATTTAGGGTTCCGTACTTCAAATGAAAATCCATCTGTCTCTCAAAGTCAAGACTCTATATCTCAGGAACGCGTTAGAGGTATAGAGTTCCTGTTGCGTACCTACAAATTTGATTTTCGGTCTGCTTCCGTCAAGGTGCTGTCCGACGGCCTGTGTTGTTTAGCAGTCTCTATAGATGATATGTTAATAGAAATCTCGTATACTTTGTGATGGCATACTAAGCCGTACTTACTGAGTCGATCCTTTATGGACTGGACATTTATTTACTTTCTGATAATATTTTTGGTTTGTGTACATGACACAAAAGTCAGCATTGTTCAAATCTCATATCATAGTGTACGAGATTTCTATTAACCTCGTATCATCTATAGAGACTGCTAAACAACACAGGCCGTCGGACAGCACCTTGACGGAAGCAGACCGAAAATCAAATTTGTAGGTACGCAACAGGAACGGTCGCACTTTTTTACGTTAACTTATCATGTATAGAGACTGCTAAATCTCAAACGTTAGAGTTCTCATACGTTCGGCAACCCTGCGCGGGATAGCCGCGCCCTTGAAAACATAGGCCGTCGGACAGCACCTTGACGGAAGCCCACCGAAAAACTGGGACACCGAGGGTTCAATACAAATTTGTACGGAACCCTCGGTGTCGCAACACAAACGGCCGTACTTTTTGACGTTAACTTAGAAGTTTGGTTTTTGAAGCTTCAAGGGACTGTAGACGGATAAAGTAAATGTAAATGAAATATATGGTGTTAATTTCAACTCGATACCTCTAACGCGTTCCTGAGATATAGGGTCTTGACTCTAGACAGACAGACCTTCCTTCAACCCTAAAGATGCGATAGATTTTAAGGAAGACAAATAATTTTTCTAAGAGTTCACATTAGCTGTACCATCGCTTCTCTCCTTCTAGAGGGTTGTCGATTACATTCGAGTGTCATTTAGTCTATTGTCTATTGGGTTTTACACAAAGGTATTCCCTCTTTTGTATGATACTTACCCGGTTTGATATTATTGTAGACGACGTTGACAAAATCGTCCCTCTCCGGGCGGCTCTGCTCGTGCATGAAGCCGACAGCATGAAGTAGCTCATGCAGTACCGTCCCCTTCTTGGACACGCAGCCGGGGGCTTGCAGGTTCACCTCTTGCCGGCCGCCTGGCGTAGAAAATAATAGAATAGAACAGAGATTGAATCATCAGCATCATCATCAGCCTATTACTGTCCCCACTGCTGGGGCACAGGCCTTCCGTATGGATAGAATAGGGAGATTAGGCCAGGACCGACCACGCGGGCCCAGTGCGGATTGGCGGGTGCTAACGACTGCAGATGCAGCCGGGACCAACGGCTTAACGTGCCTTCCGAAGCACGGAGGAGCTCGAGATAGTAAATTTTTTTGGTCGGCCATCCAATGACCGACCACTGCGAAAGTTGCTTAACTTCAACGATCGCAGCCGAACGCGCTAACCACTTGCGCCATCGAGCTCCTCAGATATTGAATAGAAATATTTTATTGCTCTTCACAGTATTACATATGTCATAGAATATACAATGTGATATGACAGTGTGGAGAGCAAGTAGCTCAGCATAAACTGCTCCGTTACGGAAGGTTTCGGGCACAGCTGGCTTTCAGCCATACCCGCATCTTTGGATGCAAAGCAAGACATGCAGAAGAGATCAAATGAAAGTACCTTGTTAAGGAATATCTATTAAAGGTTGTTTTAAGCCCGATTTACTGAATTTTCACATTACTACGTGAGATGGACATAGAAAGAGTACTTAGAGGATACTTGTTGACTCGAAAATAACTCTAAAAAGGGCGATTTTCCTTTTTTTTTAAAACTGCCAAGATCTTGGTAAAATCATCAATTGGTCGAGTACTCACCGAGAAATTTTAAAGCTAATTAAGCCCCCCAAGTGGGGCTTTTGGGATTTACTCGAGCGCGGCAAAATGTCTAATGACGGAAAAATATTAATCTGCCGGTTATCATTGTGTGGTTATCAAGGTACAGAAAATAGGAAAAAAATATTCGAGCGCGTCAAAGATTGAGAAGAGATGTTACGTGAACCCTCCAGTAGCTTCTATTCAAATAAAAGGACTGACGATTTGGACGCTACCACAAATTATGACCGAAAGTTGAATTTTTATTTTATTACCCTAGACCTGTGATTCCCAATTAGTTTTTTCTACGTACCACTCCAAACTCTGTCTCAAACTCGCGTACCCCTTATTGCAGGAATGATAAATAAAACATGAAATTATGATTTAATATCTAAGTTAAGGGATGGTTGCGCGTACTCGTTGCTGCAACCTTGCGTATCCCTGGGGGTACGCATACTACTAATTGGAAAACACTGCCCTAGACATTCGACCCTAATAGGGGTGATGACGGGGTACAGTAAACGAAATTCTATTTAGTCCGTCTGTTAGACGATCAAAAAATAATGGACACGTATTTTTTCTTTGGGCAATCAACCAAAAAATGAAAGTTATAGCGCGTCAAAGTTTGGGAGTAGGGGCTCGTGACGTCACTTTTTAGTGAATTTTCACTTAAAAGTGTACTCAAACGTGACGTCATGCGACTTTTCAAATGAATATATCTCTGCAATGTTTATATTATGTGAAAAAAGAAAAAATACGTGTCAAACACTTTTTGATAATCTACCTGATAAACGAAGAAAAAAAAATAGTCATCATCCCTATTAAAGGGCTCGGCAATGGTGAGAGTACTTCACAAGGTGCAAGGTTGCCCCCATTATGTTATTGTGCTGCACTCGAGTAAATCCCAAAGTCCCGAGCTCCCTACTATAAAGAGTTCTCACCAATACGGCCAACACTGGACCAGCAGCCGGTGTTCGCGCTACGGATAGTGATGTAGTCCGTCTGTCCGCTGTAAGGCACGAACCGAAGGCAGGTCAGACGGTGATAGTCAGCGATAGCTTTCTTGATCATGTCTCGTTGCTCCTGGTCTGGTGAATGAAGCTGGATTAGTTTCCAGTTAATTTTAATTCCCGCTTAATTTAACAATTACACTCAGGAGTTCTCTAGCAAAAATAAAATTTGGTTTGTTTAAGTTAACCAATATAAAAGTTATGATAAGATATTCTTAACCTATAATATCTAAATAAAACTAGTTTTTACGGGTTAATGCACGTTAACGACGTTTCGCAGTTACAATAAATAAATAAAGTTTCGTGCATTAACCCGTAAAAACTAGTTTTATTTAATGAGTGATGTGCGTGAAAACCTAAGAAACTATAATATCTAGTAAATGTTTGGTTTTAGTTGAAATTTATACGAAAAAAATATAGCTTAGTATAACCATTTTTAAAGAAAATATTTTAGAAATTCTTTGGTAACGCGCTCCGGATCATCGTTATTTGGTGCAAACCAATTTGACCTAAGGATTTCAGAATGAATATAAAAATCTCCTAAGTTTTGGGCAAAGGATCAATGCTTTTTCTAGGTAGGTAGTTTAAGTAATTACTGTAATATCCCTCGATGACGTAGGGGATGATCCCCTTCGGCCAGTAGGAGCTCTTGTCGCGCACGCCGTTCCTGGCGAGCGCGGGCGGTATCAGGATGTCACCCTCAGCATACGAGCCCGTCTCCTCAGGGTTCATAAGAGAAGATTCGTTCCACTCCGATAGGGCATCACCTAGGAACACAGGTAATTCATGCTATAATTAAAGGACGCGGTATCTGGCGAGCGGGGACAGCCTCAGGATGTCGCCCTCGGTGTACGAGCCCATCTCCTCAGGGTTAGGGCATCACCTAGGAACACAGGTAATTCATGCTGTAATTCAAGGAAGCCATTCCTGGCGAGCGGGGGCGGCATCAGGATCTCACCCTCTAAGTACGAGGCACGATATAATTTACATTTTTAAAGGTTTATTAAACAGGGCCCTTGTCGTGCACGCTGCCATTACATTCTGAAACACATAAATTCACGCCATAATCTACAAACCTTTTTTTTAAACTTATGCAACGGGTGCAGTTGTGCCCCCGGTGTTATGAATGAGAGACATCTTTTAAGTTTGATTAAAGTTAACGTTGTCATTTTCTTTGCGATAACGATATAATGAAACAACTTATTACTTAATGAAGCATTGCATATAATTAATGTACCTATCTGAGTGAGGGTGCAAGACTCATGCTATACCACACGCCACGCCACCAACTGATATTGATGTATTTTTTTTGAGTGTGTATGCTGTTGGTCGCAGATGACCTTTACAGCGTCACCGGGTTTGGGAACGGGGAGATCCAGGTAGTCCAGGCGGATGGCATCTCCCCACGGGGGGAGTCTTCTCTCCGTCTGGTGCCAGTAGACCACTATTGATGTTTATAATACATCAGTGGCAAGGAGTAGGCATAACTTTGCCAGAGGAATCGGTGGCCATTGTAGCAGAAAGGTTCTTAAATGGTGACCGCGCACTGGACCACGTTCAGTGAGCAGGCCCCCACCAGGTAGACCGACGACCTTGTGAAGGTCGCAGGGAGCCGCTGGATGAGAGTAACGTAGGACGGATTGATGTGGAGATCCTTGGAGGAGGCCTATGCTCAACTCGTATGGTTGATATTATGATGAGTAGGCAAATCCGCAGCTGTATTTACCTCTTAAAATCACCAATTTCTCACACGTCGTAAATTCGTTACGACCGCTGCGTCGCTATCAAGAACGGTATCAGGACGTCATAAACTAAAGGAAGTGGGTCGTCAAAGCATCTCCAACTCATTTGACAAGTTTATCAAACACCTGTCATTCGGCACCGTGTTTCGCCGGTAACGTGCTAATCAGTCGATTGTTAATTGTGACGAAATTAACATTTTTGTTTGTGTTCAGAATGCAACATAGCAATGTACATTTTGTGTAATATATTTTTTTAAATATATTTTCTGACTAATTATTAAAATATCTGATTTGAAATAATGAACGTTACTGAAATGATATATTCGTCAGTTTAATGGAAAATTTGACAGAAACTTTAAAATTTATCGTTTCGTATAGTAAATCTTGTAGATATTATTTGAGATGTTTTTACAAAAAATGTGGCACAAATGTGTGCTTATTTTCAGTTAAACTTACATTCCACGCAAGAAGAAACTGGCAAGATAGTCTAAGTCATAAGATCAACTTGATGGGCCGCAGTAATGAACAACTATTTCAATACATCATAACATTTCCTGCACATTCTATAGATACCGTTGGATTGTAAGATGAAGGATACATTAATTGACACACTGACACAAATGTTTAAAATGAAACCCTGATATCTGATTATCGGTCAAATGAATAGTATCTTAGAGACAGTAGAGAAATTAGAGCGCTATTGATTTTATGCACAGGCCCAAGCACAAACTTTGGATAGCTCCGTAATCCAATTGCATCGTCTAAACTTTGATGATGAAAACTTATTGGATGTAAGAACAAACTGGCTAATTCCATACAACATTTGATTTATTACAGATCTGTCAAAGTTTTCGCCTTGTTTCCGCTTTGTTATCGTAATAAGCAAAACGCGTTTTGTGCTTAAAAAAGATAATGTAAAATATATAACATAATCAAAAGCTGCAAACATAGGCCAAAATAAATTTTACACGAATATTTTTGTTTTTCACAAATGTTTTTTTTTTACCTTTGTTAGTATAAACAATAAATTTACTAGAACTTTTATTTACTATATTACGTTTAAACTCCCAGTCCCTTATGGTAACGGATTTTCCTAGTTTAGAGAACAGAGAATCGTTCTAATGTATTTTACTTATCTAGGAGGTATATTAGGTACCCTTTCTCAAGAATGAAACTATTAAAACATTCTTACACTTTTCAACACTATTTTTTAACTATGGAATATGAATGATTTTTTTAGAAAATAAACGAAAAAAATATCGTTATAGAAATTTCGTCGGCAAGAACTTCGTACCATTTTATATATTATTGTACAAGATTTTAACACCGGGTTGGGTAAAAAAATACGATAAGATCAATTCAAATTTCAGGGTTCAATTATTTATGTACGAGTTAGTACAGTCAATCTATCGAAAAAAATATCGTTTCAGTGAAAAAAAAACCTAAAGGGTAAGTCTTGTTTTTTCTGTTGCTTAATGACGTCAGTAACCTTGGCGATGGGCATGTTCAATTCGTAGGCGTTTTTTGAAAAACTCAAAAAAACAGTCAAAAATTTTTTGAAACGAATTTTTCTTGTTTTGTATGCATTTTAGAAACTTTTTTTTTCGACCATAATTGTAGAGGGCGTTGAGTGCTACAATTTATGTCATTGTTGCAATCTCGTACAACAAAAAATGCGCATTGTAGGTGGCGCTAAAGTCTCAAAAAAAGTGTTTTTTCACTTTTTCACCCTGAAAATATCATTTTAATGGAAAACTTTAAATGGCAATGTTGTTTCGTACATAATTACCAACAACTTTTGTATAAACCATTTTTTGGTATTACTTACCGTTTTCAAGTTATAAATTGCGCAGGTATGAAAAATCCAATAGAGCGGTTTTGGGCACTTTAAGTATACATTTGCAGTGCACATTTCAATGTACGTTTTACTATTTTTTATTTTTTTTCATGATTGAAAAACAAAAAAAAATAAAAAAAAAATAAAAAAAAATAGTTTTATTTTTATTATTTTTCATGATTGAAAAAGAAATAGTAAAAACATACATTGAAATTTGCACTGCAAATGTGTACTTGAACTGCCCAAAACCGCTCTATTGGATTTTTCATACCTGCGCAATTTATACCTTGAAAACGGTAAGTAATACAAAAAAATTGTTTATCCAAAAGTTGTTGGTCATTATGTACGAAACATCTTTGCCATTTAAAGTTTTCCATTAAAATGATATTTACAGGGTGAAAAGTGAAAAAACACTTTTTTTGAGACTTTAGCGCCACCTACAATGCGCATTTTTTGTTGTATGAGATTGCAACAATGACATAAATTGTAGTACTCAATGCCCTCTACAATTATGGTCGAAAAAAAAAGTTTCTAAAATGCATACGAAACAAGAAAAATGCGTTTCAAAATATTTTTTGACGGTTTTTTTGAGTTTTTCAAAAAACGCCTACGAGTTGACAATGCCCATCGCCAAGGTGGCTTCCTGACGTCATTTGGCAACAGAAAAAACAAGACTTACCCTTTAGGTTTTTTTTTCACCACTCAACCTACAGATTGACTGTACTAAGTACGTTTCATTTATCCAGCATAAACGAGGAGCTCGATGGCGCGTGTGGTTAGCGCGTTCGGCTGCGATCGTTGAAGTTAAAGCAACTTTCGCAGTGGTCGGTAATTGGATGGCCGACCAAAAATCTTCTATCTCGAGTTCCTCCGTACTTCGAAAGGCACATTAAACCGTTGGCCCCGGCTGCATCTGCAGTCGTTAGCACCCGCCAATCCGCACTGGGCCCGCGTGGTGGGTCATGGCCCAATCTCCCTATATAGAATAGGGAGGTTAGGTCGGTACTTAAACCTATATACCTAGGAAAGGTCTGTCAGCAGTGGAGACATTAATAGGCTGATGATAATGATGATAATGAATTTCTAAACGCTTGAGCCGATTATGATGTGTGTGGTATCATTAGAATCCTTTCACAATCCCGGGTGACATCTAGGATACTTAAACCGTTAAAAATGTCGTTTTTTGTCAAATTAAAAGATATGTTTTCTAATTATAACAATAAGTACTTTGATATCATTTAAAATCTCAAGTATAAATAACAAAAGTAGCATTTATAAACAGGTTGCATGTAAAACGTGATAAATACTAGAAAATAAATACCATTAAATAAATTATCTAAAATAAAAAATAGGACCTGATTGTTATATATATATACTTTTCAGATATTGTTTTTTACTTTTCAGATAATTATTATTAACGAATGTTCTATTTTTTAAATTTTAATTGTCTATTCAATTTTTTTTGAGAACTCTTTCTTGTGTTTACCGACGTTATTGAAGGATTATTTCGACAATTTCCTATACTGTATTTCAATTTTACCTTTTCTCATTATTTATGTACCTAGTTATGTACAATTTTTAAATACATCCTGAAATTTTATTTATGACATTCTAGCAACGTTATGTAAAAAGTTTTACGTATCTAAGTTCGATAAGCTACAAGATTTTATGAATGAACTTACCACTTTCGTTCTTTGGTGGTCCAAATGCCTCCGGTCCCAGGTGCGACAAGTTAATGCTGTCACCACCCTCATCTACACTGTTTTCCGACAAATCTATGCCATTATCTACAACATCAATATTGTTTTCTAAGTCTGGTGATGAAATATCAATGTCTTTCACCATTGGTACAGCGTAATAACCGCTTAATAAAAATAATTGGATCAAAACGGATAGAAATTTTGCCATAGTTAGGTAATTTATTTATAATTTTATTTGAACAAAAAAAAGTTGTAAAGAGAACTACCAGGCGAGCACAAGCCAGCAGAGGTGTGACTGAGTAGCCTTAAGCAGCGAATATTTATATTAGGATGGGGTGCCGTCATAGGGTAAACAAAACGGGGTTCATTACTCCTACTTCCTGATAAAGGATGTGCCAGCGAAAATATGTAAACTATATCGATAAGGCGGGCCTTGGATTTGCTTTTTTTTTTTAAATTTCCTTTTGTATTCAATTTATTTGTATTTTGTATATACTTACTTTATTTTAGTATAAACAACTGAATACTGATTCGTATCCACAGTTACACTCCACAACCATTTATTTCCGGAAAAAGTTTTTATCGCGAATTTCATACTGTATTTTGATTCTCCATTTTTTAATTATACTTCATATACTTCATGCTTCGTCCTCGAGATTAGCTTGAATTACACATGTAGTACGCGTAGCACGCGCCATTTTACACTATAATAATATATTAAAAAGAATAAAATAATTAGTTCTTTTTCTTTTCTTTAAATTTGGAATGTGGGTAAGCCCTAGCGCCTGTCATAGCTGTCATTCGCTTGTGTGTCGCCGTTTCACATCTAGTTTTATTTAAATTATGTTATTTTTTGTTTATTTCATAAGCGATGTTGATTTTTTATGTCACAAATAATATTGTTTTTTAGTTTTTTGTTTTGGTTATCTTTTGTTTCCATGTTACAAAAATAAAGCAGCAAATTATATTATATTTACTTTCTTTATTATTCAGTTACCTATTACAATTATTAATATTTTTCGAATAGTCTCTAAATGTCTACATGTGTAATTCAAGCTAATCTCGAGGACGAAGCATGAAGTATAATTAGAGATTAAACGAACTTACCTGAAGTGAAGTTCTATCCTAATTATACGAAGACTTCGTCCAAAGAGATTAGCTTCCCCCCCTCCCAAAAGTTATTATTATTCCCATATGTTATTCGAAAAATATGTATACTTAATTAATACTCTTAACTAAATGACAGCTATGACAGGCGCTAGGGCTTACCCATATTCCAAATCTAAAGAAAAGAAAAAAAAACTAATAATTTTATTCTTTTTAGTTTATATATTCTCAATATAGTGTGAAATGGCGCGTGCTACGCGTACTACATGTGTAATTCAAGCTAATCTCGAGGACGAAGCCTTCGTATAATTAGGATAGAACTTCACTTCAGGTAAGTTCGTTTAATCACTAATAAGTACCTATAGATAAGTGAAAAATTAGACAAATCAAAAAACTATCATTATTTAATTAGGTATGTAATTTTCTTAAATCTCTAATTTTTAAGTACCGTTAATAGGTCTAGGCCAATTTTAGCTTACAACTATTATTTGCCAAAGGAAATATTTTACTTTAAAAATTGCTGTCATCAGCTACCAAGTAGTCGCGGCAAATACTAACTTATACTTCTGTTATTCGCCCTTCGAGATTACACTAATTCACTTGTAGTAGCACGCATTATGTGCTGCCATCGTACACAATTTTAGAGCAACATTAACCTTTGCCTACAAAATATAACATAAAAATATAAAATATGCGTTCGCACTGGGGGTAACTCCATATATTCATACACGTTTTGTGTCGCAGCCATCGTGCACGTAATTTTGCATTCGCGTTTAATTTATAGTGTTTTTATGTGTATTAAATTTCAAAACTCCATGGAAAAACGCAAACTCCACGAAGGAGAAGTATCTTTCTTGTAAAATCAAGAAAAAATGTTAAAAACTCGTCGTAACTATCGCCGCAGTTCGGGTTTGAGTACAGGATTATGAAGCAATGGCACTTCTTTTGTGGATATAACTATGTACTATTTTTTGAACCATCAATTAATATAACTTTTCAATAAGAAAAAACAATTTAGCATAAATGACAGCACAAAACCGGCTATGTCATTATTAAAATAAATTCAGAAATTATGAACAATATTCTTGTCAAATGGTTTATGCGAAGAAATTTATAAATTTCGTACCCTGTCACCAAAATATACGGGTACTACTAGTACTACTTGAGTCCCAAGTAGGGTGCACAATTATTTAAAGAAGAAACTCCGACCCAAGTTATAGCATTTTATTAAGCTGTTTTTTATATATAACTCTTTGGCTGTTTTTATTGCTCATAACATACTTATTTTATTTATAATCAAGTCAAATATTAATTTGATTACTAATGAAAGTTTCAAAATTAAATATCACTGATCAGACTAAGTCTTCAACTATAAATCGAGCTCACCATTTACTGACTTTATTATAACGATAGTCCTTCAATATGTCTAGCCAAAAACCTTGAAATATTATTTAAATGTTTCAGCAGTGAAGAGGCAATGGGAATGTGTTTTTATTTTTATTATTGATATTATTGTTTAGTTCATAGACTTCGAGTCGGTGTATCTTTGCAACTCTACCAGACAGCGGAATAGACACCATCACCTTCTTACAGCATGATACGTGCTGCTACTTTACCTGCTACTAAGTCAGAAGTTAGTATAGAGCTTATGAAGAAAACTGCTGATTGGACAAGTGCGAGATTTTACAATAGAGATGTATCCAAAAATAACTCAGACTTTTTTGCTCGCTCTCTTTACAAACTGATTTCGATCTTCTAATATAAAAAAAAGATTTTTTAATTAGCTATCTAGAGCTAAATAATAATATTTGTTTTATTCTCAAATCGAGTGTTACTACATTAATTTACATAAATATCTAATAGTCAGCTATTTCGTGTAGCTTTAAACATCTACAAGTGAATTAGTGTAATCTCTCGGGCGAATCACAGAAGTATAATTGAAAGTCAAACGAACTTACCTGTAAGTGACGTTCGACTTATATTATACGATGTGATTCGCCCGAGAGATTGCACACCCTCCCGGCCCCTGGTCAGCTATTCTATGAAGATATCTAGATCTTACCCATGGTCACACGAAATAGCAAGAACCAATGGACCGCTTTAGTCCAAACGTGTATGAATATATGGAGTTACCCCCAGTGCGAACGCATATTTTATATTTTTATGTTATATTTTGTAGGCAAAGGTTAATGTTGCTCTAAAATTGTGTACGATGGCAGCACATAATGCGTGCTACTACAAGTGAATTAGTGTAATCTCTCGGGCGAATCACATCGTATAATATAAGTCGAACGTCACTTACAGGTAAGTTCGTTTGACTTTCAATTAAACAGTTAAAAAAATCCAGCACTGCTAATATAAGTAATAAATTAATATATATGAAAACAAGATAATTACTATACCAACAAATACTAACAAACGAGATAATATGAAAGAAATATGGTAAAATCAAAACAGGTAAGTACTCATCGCGCGGAGGTCGCACTGTCCAAATGTTTCCTACTTAAATTACATCACATTAGGAAACGGTGATTGTGGAAGCAAGGTTATCTGCCGAAGAAAACATAGTTGACAGCTCACAGCCTCGTAGAAAGATTACGTCTTTCTTAACCTCGTTACTACAGTTTTAAAATTAAAAATGTTCTCAAGTTAAAAACTAGTATAAGTACTTGCCTGGCTAGCTGCCCGTTTTCATCATCATCATCAGCCTATTAATGTCCCCACTGCAGGGGCACAGGCCTTCCCTAAGGATGGAATAGGGAGATTGATGACTTCTTTAGACGATGGCGACGTAGATACGGATTTAACTTGATGTTAAGAAGCAGCCTGAACTACAATTAAGACTAGGTATACTATACTCCTATACTCGTGCATTGCCTACCCTACCTCTTAGAGCTCTGGAATACTGGATCTACAGTATGTACCAGTACAGTTTTAAGCTATACATATAAGTAAGACCTGCTTATTCGTAGATATTATCTGTCGCAGTGAATACAAATATTTTCAATTTTATCACTACACACACAAAGAAAGAAAGAAAGTTTATATCACATCGGATATATTGGTTGTATGAAGGTATATAAAAGCCTTGTCAGTTATTTCGCCACAGCATTTTTGTAAACTTAAGAGAAATTTTCGCTGTTTGCGAATTGCGAATATAGGGAGTCGAGCGAATATTCTCTCGAAAATGAAAACCTGTGGAGAAATAATTTGAAAGCAGGAAGCCTTGAAAAGCAGACCACTGCTTCAAAATTTGATTTCCTTAAACTATAGTATAAATTAACTCAGATAGAACTTTTTCTATTCAATTATTGTTGATTAATTAGTATACATTTTGTATTTATAAGCTTAATGAGTTACAATATTAGATCCGTGCAGCCAGTGCCATCTTTGACCTATTGGAGGCCCTGGCTGGGCATATTAGGATAATGGGACCCCTATGACTTCCGTTTGGTGATTTAACAGGAACTAGGGATTTTGTATTTGATCTGAGGGCATCGATCGCGGGGCCCTGGGCACTTGCCCAAAGTGCCCACTGGGAAAAACGGGTCTGCGTGCAGTACATTTCACATTTCTGGCATACTACATTACATTTGGGAATTTTGGGAAATTCATTAAGAGGTGTTACGGTTTCGCGCTTCAGCTTACAGTATCTAACTTCATTATCAGTTTTAGATTGTCAAGTTGAGGCACGGATGTTTCATTTGCGAAGTTCCATTAACTTTGTAAGTTCTTTTCTTGCGAATAATCATAATTACTTAGCATTTGAGCATGCTATTTTATCCTTGTTCTTGAAATCCTACTATACTAATAGTATACATGTGGAAGTTTGTATGTTTGCTACTCAATCACGCAAAATCTACTTAACGGATTCGGATGAAATTTGGTACGCATACAGTGTGACCTGGATTGAGACAATTTTTATTTGAACGTAGGAGAGGAAAACACAGTGGTTAAGCTACAAGATATATAATATATGAGAGATATAAACAAACAAGCCATATGATACGAGTAGATACGAGAGAAGAGAGAGTCAAAAAGACAGACTGACGTATAAAAAATATAAATATTTATAAATTTAAAAACATGTCAAAAAGGTGTCAGGGTATTTATATTAAAAAGTTATGAAAAAGGTTTGGCCGAACACTTTTTATCCCGGAAAAGTGTTAGGTCCCTGAAGGATTCTGAAAAAACTAAAGTTAACGTGGACTTAGTCGCGTGCGGCCGCTAGTTATAAATAAAAATTGTATATTTTCATTTTGTCCTTTTATGTTCGGTACTGTAGGCTTAACTTGAAGGGAAGCCCTGGGGAGCGCAGCTATAATTAATAAATTATAACGATTAGGACTTTCCACTTGATTTATTCGACTCAGAAATACATTTAATTAATGGTCGACCGAACGTTCTTGTGGCTAAATTCTAACTGCTGGAATCTTCCATAAAAGACAAAAGATTCCCAATTATAAAAACCTTTAAAATAATGACATTTCCTTTTTAATATAACTGCCAGCCATAGGCATTACACGAGCAAAGAGTTTACACAAGCAAAGAGGCCGTTACGCAACGGGCGTTACATCCCTCGGGTCATCCCGGCCAATCATAATACATAATTGTATGTCTTGAAGCTATGAGAATCTGATAAATCTGAGCTAGGTAAATACCTACGAGCTATTATAAACATAGTATTTTTAATAAAAAAAAACCTTTAAAACAATTAGTGAGGCACCAAAGATAATAGAGTCAATAAACCCGTAATTATTTTATAAGACGTTACTATCTCTATGAGTGCCATAAACATGAAATTTAATGGCAACTAGGAAGTAATAGGGGTCCCTCATACCTCATTAATCTTGTGTACAGTAATTAAAAAGGCACGTTTCGTTTCTAGCCTAAGTTTTTATCTGTAAAACTCCTTACCTACCACATAAGTAATTTAATAGTTATTTTTTATGTAAGAATATATCTAACCAAACAACATTGATGAAAGAATAGGACATTCGTAGTTTCAACTTCAAGACCAAATATTTATCGATCATTCTGAGTAGATCCATAGATCCATTGGCTAGATCCATGATGGGTCTAGTCAGAATTTTTAGTTTCATTATATCTATCTCCTCCGATGCGGTGGGGAACGATGGCATTAATTGCAACATGTTAGTACCGATCGTTATTACACAGATGGGGCGGTCTTGAAAGAAATAATCGGCAGTAGGAACCATGGGAACTGTTCTCTGATCGGCAGTACGATAAAAAAAACAATATCACTGCTCGATATAAAATACAAACACCTTGTAATATTAAGTTTGTACCTACTTACACATTATGGATCAAAGTTGTCCGAAATAAATATTTTTATGTTATTATTGTTTATATGTTATATTCCCAACTATTCATCGATAGTTTTTATTTGTTTTTACCGATTTTGACTATTTCCAATAGAAGTTAACAGTAGATTTATCGATCGAGATATTTATCTTCCTATTGTAAGTTAGTGTAGAATATTTGCAAATACTATTTTTCTTTCTTTCGTTCGTTCGTTCTACCGCAGCTAGTTTACGGAAAAAACGATAATATGCAAAACTTCAAACGCCTGAATCTCTAAATAATGTTCAATAAATCAGATTAAATTAATTACTAAGACATCAGAAATATGTTTTTGTTGTAACATAATGTATTAGAATTTTGATTTTCCATCTCTTTAATTATCAAAAAAAAAACATCTAATCTCCGTGAGTTTTCCAAAAAAATAATGCAAGTTTACCTACCGTATTTTGATATTGAATTAAATAGAATTACTATCAAAAACTTTCATAAAACTAATCTACCATTATTGAACAACTGAAATATGTATATATTTTTATAATTAGTTCATTAATAATTATTTTATAACACCCGAAACATCACCCGTAAAATGCAATATATACTAGTGCAAATCTATCGACCGATCAGCGGGGCTATTCTGTAAAATTTTCACGCGTGGACCCGATGCGGTTCCTCGCGAATCTTTATGAGAATCGAGCGGATCCACGCGTGTAAATTTTTCAGAATAGCCTCACAGTACGGCAGCGGCGCAATTTTGTAAAAGGGCTCTTAAACAGTACATAATTATTATGCTCTGGTAGTCTCATTTCCATTAAGAAAAGGTCCGATGTGACCCTGGAAAAATCGAGGAAACTTCAAAAATTTAGGCACATCTCGTAGTAATTTGGGCTTTTTTCATTGTCATCATCATCAGCCGCTGGATGGCCACTGCTGGACATAGGCCTCATCTAAGAACGTTCACACACAATGGGGCGGGCATTTTGTCCGCGAAGCAATAAAAACCGCGTCTGCCCGTCGATGTCTGCGGCTGCCCGTGCCGCGTACACAAAGCACACGACGGGCAAAGGCAGTCAGGGCGGGCAGCCGCGGACATGCCGCGCCGCCAGTGCCCGCCGGGCACCTGCGGCGCGGTCTTTTTGCCCTCTGTGTTGGTAATATAGGATTCACTGCGTTGGTAATATAGGATTCACTTTGTGCTATCGTTCGCGGCGAAATTGACCGGCCCGCCCCGCCCTGTCGTCTGCAAAGCGCCTAAGTATTAGCGACTGTCAATAAATTTTCATATTTATGAGTCATGAGTAAACACGCTAAATCATAATGTTTACGTTGTTGTAAAAATAATAATTCCTAAATTTTATTTCATACATGATAGGTTCTGCAAACACTCTTAACCAATCTCTTAACTCTTCTTAACCAATCTTACCGTATTGTCAATGTAACTTGGCCTTGCCTTATGTACTTACCTAAAATTTCGTAAAAAAAACCTATGAATAAAGTTTGATGAAAGTAAATCACAATAAAAACAAAACCTTATTTAAGATGAGCAATAATTAAATTGGTATGTTTAAAATCAGTGGCGCACTAACAGGGGGCGGAAGGGGCGGCCAAATGTCTCCGAATTCCCCTGATCAGAACCTAAACATAACTTTAAAAATGTTAAGAAAATATAACTTGAAAAAATTCCATGCGGACCAGGCAGCAGACGGGACTCGAACCCGCACCCTTCGCAATCCGGACGAAAGCACTGATCAATTATGCTACCGCGGCCAGAGTTCAGTAAATTGAAGGCACGAAAACACATATAAACGATACCAAAAATAAAAAAAACTATCTTTGATTTATTTTAGTATTTTTTTGTCGCTGATTCGTATTTGATTTTCCTACCCATATCCATTCCATATTGTAGGTATGTATGTTTATTTTGCCGAAATAATTTAATTCTAGTTTAAATTTCACTTGCCAGATTTAACGAAATAAACATAGGAAACTATTTTTTTTTAAAGCTGGGGGCTTCATTCTGCTTTTTAGCCCCGGGCCTCTGATTGGCTTAGTCTGCCACTGTTTAAAATACAACCAAATTCTGTCTCCTTATTTTCTCCATCGAAACCATTTTTATAAGCTTAATTACAATTTCATACATCTAATTACATACATATAATTCTACAATCAATGGCAGTATGCATCTTCTTTATTTCCTCTGCGCCACGGGGCGCGCCGACGGACGTAGGCAGCAAACTACGACTAACGCACTATCTATACCCTGTCTGCGCGTCGCGTGGCGCTTCGCGCTCTTGCATTGCGCAGTCGGGTAAAAAATAACAAGCGAGACTATGATGTTAGACGTCATTGGCGAGAAACGTTTATTTTCGTCATTGACTACAACGCGTAGCTAGCTCACCAGTTACTACCTAGCTACCTCTTTAACTTTCATTTCTGACAATATTAATATTCATATGCTTTATATTTAAAAGGTTATTAATTAATTACGGCATCATTCGATAAAATTATTAATCGAGTGTTAATACGACGCACGTATTCTATTTGTATTATTATAACAAAAACTGACGTCATGATTAAAATATCACATTTCCGCTGACGACGATTCAAGTAACAAAGAGAATTCAATGATCGGAGGTACCGAAATCCTTGCTCATCCAATGTACTGTTTGAAGGAGCGAGCTATGGCCGTAATTTTTTGCCATACCGTACCAGATATCGTTCATTTTTTAGCGGTTCGTCTTTCGTATTCAGCCGGTAAACAGCCGGTCGTGAGAGCGGAATTCGTTAACAAAATGATGGAACTGAAGTGAGCCACAGACGACGCAGCGACGCACGGCAGCGGTAATTCGGCACGGCATGGCACGGTTCAATTCAGTTCAGTGGCTCGATTTCTGTACGGAGAGCACGACGCGTTGATGCAGTGTTGTGACGTACCAGTATTTAAAAATAAACACAGAATTAATCTGTATTTATGCACAATACCGTACAAACAATGTCGGAAAAGAAAAAATATACAACTTACGATAGGGAAGTAAATAAAAGATTGTTGATCACCCTGATAAAACAGAGGCCAGTGTTGTGGGACAGAGATCTGGAAATTTACAAAGACAGAACTGCCAGAGCGGAAGCGTGGCGAGAAATATATCCGATTCTATACAAGAAATACGCGAGTATGGATGAAAATGAAAAAATCCTTTTTGGTAAGTGTCAGAGACTAATATTTTTAGCTTATTTTAAATCAAACTCTGGTTTTGGTCTCATATGACCCTATTTTTATGTTATTATCATTATAATATGATTATGTAATATCAAAGGTGAAGGAATAGCTTCCGAAAGTTTGTAACCCTTTTTCAAGGGTTGCCACCTTTTTATGTCCAAATAAAGTACATTGGAGATTTAAGGTAGAAAAAAAAGTACATTGTGTCCAAAATAAAGTACTTTTCATTCTACTTTATTAGTAAGCTTAAAAATATATTTTACGTTGCGTATAGCAACTTTTAATGATTAATTTGTGGCTACTAAAAATCTGTAGTTCTTATCAGCAATGGGAAAGGCCATTGTACAAAGCCATACACATACAGTAGCGACAATGATGCAGGAATGAGCTAAGGGTGACATTATACATACTGTTGTTCCGTTTTACGCAAAAATTCTTCCTATCCTCTTATATCGTTTTATGTAAAATTAATCCCCAAGTAATCAAATCACATTAAAGTATTTTCGCGTACTTTATTGTTGGCATAAAGTATTGAGTACAATTACCCGAAATACCGTACAATACTTTATAATAAAGTACGGGTGGCAACCCTAAGTAGGTATGAGTGAGTAAATGCATGCGTGATTAAAGATATGGAGAAATGAAATGATACTTTATTTAAATTGATTTATTGAAAGCTTTTTTGAATCGCCCAATTTTTCTTCCTACCACCATTCAGGACATATTTTAGCTGATGAAAAGAGAAGTGAAGTAATCTACCTCTCTTTTATATATAATAACTAGCAGCCGCCCGCGACTTCGTCCGCATTAACTTGAGTATTTTGAGAATTCCTCGGGAACCCAACATTTCTTAGGGATAAAAAGTATCTATCTATGTCTCAATCCAGGTGATATATTATAAATATAGAAATTTGGCACAAATGTGCCAAATTTCATCCAAATCCGTTCAGGCGTTTTTGCATGATTGTGTAACAAACAAACTCACTTTCGCATTTATTATATTACTTAAGAAAACATTCTATTATATCTATGGTAAAGATAGAATTAGGTTTAAATTATTATAAAGAAATCACATCACTAATATGCGTTAGATTTCGTTGTGTAGACACAGAATTGACTGTTTTAGAAAAACTAAAGACGACTACTTTAGTAAAAATGTAACTACCTAATTAGGTAGCTTTTAATAATAAAGTTCTACAAATTCTACTCGTACATAAAAATTGGAAAATTCTAATTACTTTCATTTCAACTAAAGAATAAAGTAGATTTTTGTTTTAGGCTTGCATGTGGTTATTTTCCTATTGTGATCACAACGAAACCTAGCTTTCTTTGATCTGTAATAATGTCGCATTGTTACAGACCGCAGACGGAGCTTAAACTTATGGGAAGAACCGTTTCTTTTTCTCTTGACATTTTGTTGAATAAGTTACGTTACGTTATATTATAATCATATTTTAATAACCCATAGCCAGAATGTGAAGTTTAATTAACATCATACAGTTGGCTCTATAACTCACTCTTAAGTATTGTATGTATTGTACATACGTAGTTAGGTGTTTCTTTGCGTCTTCACAAATTCGGTTCTTGGCTGATTTGACTAAAAAGGATTAAAGAGATTAGAAAAAAAATGAGAATTCTTGACGTAAACTTAGGTTTCTCTAGGACCAAATCAAAAAACTAAAGTGAAAATAAGAGAAATTCTATCACCATTCATTAGCTTTGAAGCGAAAACAAAAAGATAGAACATTAGACTTAATATGTGAAGCAATAGATTTTTCATTTTTAAAGTCCCTATAAAATAAAAATATTAAGCCACGAAATAGACAAAATGTGTTATAATTGCACTTTTATTCAGAATTTTCCGCTTTATAGAATGGCCTATGTGACGCAATCAAATTCGCAAAAAAATAGTTTTTAGGACCGTGATATCTTCAACGCCTAAACAGAGTTTTCTTTGGAATTTATGATGTAAGAACCAAATAAAATATTGTTGCTATGACCATTAAATGGTCCAAATTTTGGAGTAATGTCATATTTGTTTCTTAGGTTTTTACGTACATCACTCATTAAATTAGATGCACTGATTTTATTTATATAGACGTTTCGCATCCTTTGCAGGAATAGGGATGATGACTAATTTTTTTTTCTTCGTTTATCAGGTAGATTATCAAAAAGTATAGGACACGTATTTTTTCTTTTTTCACATAATATAAACATTGCAGAGATATATTGATTTGAAAAGTCGCATGACATCACGTTTTGGTACAATTTTCACTTAAAAGTGACGTCACGAGCCCCCACTCCCAAACTTTGACGCGCTTTATCTTTGTCATTTTTTGGTTGATTGCCCAAAGAAAAAATACTTGTCCATTATTTTTTGATCATCTAACTGACGGACTAATTAGAATTTCGTTTACTGTACCCCGTCATCATACCTATTATTCGATTCCGACGACGCATTCCTGCAAAGGATGTGAAACGTCTAAATAAATAACCTAACAGACTAAAATTTAAATAAGTTTACACATAGGTACTGGTAGGTACAGTGGGGTATTTAGGTATTAGTTTATAGTAAGGTATGTAAGCTTGGTTATTATATTACTATAAAGGTATCATAGTTACGACTCCCAACATTCGAAATGTATAATTTTACTACTTACTTTATTTTATGTTAGTGGTTTTTAAGCTCAATAACAACGACTTACATCTAGTTACGACTCATTGCAATGTAACAACTCAAATAATTATGGGGTGTATAAACCATTTTTCAAAACAAAACATGGTTGTTGCTTTCACAACTTGCGGATTTTCTACTGCATTAATTATACATATACCTATGTGAAGACTTAATCTATATGCTTACCGTAAAATTGTTTCAGGGAGATATGTGACACACAGATGGACACGAATAAGAGACGCCTGGTTAAGAAGTTACAAGAAACCAAACGCAACGACATACAAATTCGATCGTGAAATGAGTTTTCTGAAGAGATTTGTTGATAGGAACTCTGTAGGTACCTCCGAGGACGCAAACATGAGCGCCAACATCAAAGAAGAAGAAGACATCGAGTCTGAATCAGAGGTTAATTTCGAAAATTACGATTTCGATGAAAACCATAGCAACGTTGAAATGGAACCTGAGAAAGTTATGTGCATCGTGGACTCCTCCAAGGAGGCAGAGAACGCTGATCGTCACTTATCTTTCTTCAAGGGCATTCTACCGTCACTGACTGCCTTCGATGACGATCAAACATTGGAGTTCCAGTCCGGCGTCATTAACCTTATACAGTCTATCAAAAGGAATCGCAATTGGTAGTCATCATTTATATACCAATAAGCACCGTCACAAGAAACGATATTTTTTACCTAAGAGTTGGTAGAAAAATCAATGCCGATTACAGACAATTGACATGTAAAAAGGCGCAGTGCGATGAAACTCTAACAATAGTTAGATAATATTATTATGGTGACAAAACTAGTGAGACTGCATTGGTATAATAAAAACTAGACCACAGAACACAAAAAGAGATTAGAAGGGTGATTATAGACCGTTTATACGGGAACCGATGTCGCCGGCTCGCTTCCACTACACTTTCATCTGATAGATGAATAGCCAATGAAATGTTGTGACATCAAACAATCGAACCAATCAGCGCTCACACCCGAGAACAACGACGCAATCAGAACCAAGTTTTGGTCAAGTTACGAGCATTTGCTCACACATTACTGTGGCGCGCCTGCCCCGTTCATAAGGCCCTTCTAACCTCTTTTTGTGTTCTGTGGACTAAACCCATAGAAATACCTAAATAATTGATCTGATTAGACCCAACAAGTGATGGTATTTCAGTGGGGATAGATATAATTACAGGTTGCAAATGAGACATCATGTAACCCCACTAATGGCCATGACCTACCACGCGGGCCCAGTGCGGATTGGTTGGTGCTAACGACTGCTGATGAAGTGGAGCTCGAGAATAAATTTTTGGTCGCTCGAGAACAAATTTATGGTCACCCATACGAAGACTGGCAAAGGCCAGATGGCGAAAGTTGCTTAACTTCGATTGTAGAATGCTGTAACCATTTGCGTCATCGAGTTCCTTGAGCAAATGCGTGCAAGTAAGTCTCATATTTTGATTTGTACTGCTTTTATAAGGCGTCTAATAAGCGCGTCATTATCGGTCGATAATATCGGATGCGTTATAGCGATTTATGTTTTTAGTACGTTATGTAGATATAAGGGCGGCTACGAAGTTACACACTGCTGCGATAATAACAACGCAATAAAAGTATGACGAAATATCGCAATAACGCATTTGATATTATCGAACGATATAACGGGCTTGATTCAATCCATTGATAATATATAAAAACATTGTTTTTTTTTGGTAAAACCTCTAAAAATGTGCATTACGTGATCGCGTGATCGTACGTGTTTTTGTGCAGTAAAAAGATTATAATATGTGATTGAACTCGTAATTGGTACATAATCAATTCACACGTTATTTTGTTATGAAAATGTTGCGATGAGCAATAAAAGACATGAAAAAATATGTAATTTGTTTTGTATTTCTAACATATTGTTATAACTTTATACACTAAGTCATCTTTATTTACATGAGCATTTTTGCTACACAATATTACAATTAAAATAATTTTCTCTCTTTATATTAAATTTTACATACATATTCCTCTTCGACATATTCATTAGGCAAAGTGACGAAAACAATCAGTACGAAAGCTTTTATATTAATCATATATTTTATTAAAAACATACTGCTTTTTTTAGATAAGGCGTATAAAAACTATACAAAAATTACCATTTTATGGAGCGGGATTTTTTGAGGTACTCGTGTGAAAATATACATTTTTTTCTGGTGAAAATGCACTTAAATGTATAAGTTAAACTTAAAAAAATATTAGCGCATTTCACTTTTATACATCTATCACCTTTACATTTTAATTTAGTTATGGAACCATGAAGCCTAGACCTGGCTAGGCAGTAACAAGAAGTTGTTGACATTTTTGAGAGATCAAATCATGTGATTAGATAAACATTATAACGTAAGTTATATTATCCCGAAATTAGTTTAAAATAAATATCATAACATGTATAGGTACTAGAAAAAAAAATACGAACAGTATATCGATATTGTGAGCTGTTTTTACTGTAATTTTGAGATCCATATAAAAATAGTGAAATTGTTTATATTTTGTATTACAGTTCAGTAATTGAATGTACCTATTGTAAAGTATAGTCCGGGTTGAAATTATTTAACTGTACAAAATGAATTTGAAGCTTTTTTTGCTTTTGCATAAATAATTGTTTTTTGTTTGGTTTAAAATGTGTAAAATCCCTCTGAGATTTGAAGAACATGGTTTGTTATTTTTATGATCTGCACAGGTGTTTAAAATTATCTTTAAATTTGTTTTAAGTTTGTACCTCAAGCACGATAGCTAACGAAAAGCATTCGTGTCGCCATGGCAAAGTTTCTATGAAAAAAAGCCAGTTTGTTCTTACATCCAGTAGGAGGCACTGCCTAGTTTCTATAGAAACGACGTTGACGTTGGCGATACGAATACGAATTTGTCTAAATATGTGCTTGGGGTACAGTAATATTTACTAGACTTATTGCACAAAATAGGGCCCTTCATCTCACATGATATTAGGCCACCTGCCAACTAAATATAAAATGGTTCCACTCGTTTGTTAAAATTTATTTGTAAAAAAAATATCATCTTTTAAAATTTTGATCATTTTCATTATTTTGGCTATGTGTACAGTACTTACTACTGTTCAAATTATCAATTTTATCATTATATTAATTAATAAGCAAGCTCGATCAAATAGTATGTCTGTTACAATCAATGATTCCAAACAATGTTGCGAATGTTTCGACCAACAGCAAAGAGTGCAACATAACCTTATTAACAACAATGTTAAAATACGACCTCGTTTCTGTTCATATTCGACAGAGACTGCAATTTATAATGTATAGATGTATATTAAAATTCATCATTATTCAATATTGTTCATTTAGTCTAAACTGTTACAAGCACTTGACAGTTAAAAAGGTGCCTAATCGGTTTAAATCTACGACCTCCCGGCCGGATCTTGTATTGAGAAAAACCGCAAAGAAACTCAGCAACGTAACAGTCATATTAATATAAAAAGCAAAAAAACGTATTTATACACTTTGTAACACGACTTCAAAGGCTGTGTCTGATTATATTACAGATGATATTATGATATGATATTATTATATATATATGATATTATGTCAAGTGCTAGTTGACAATGTTGTTGCATCACTCAGGATAACTAAACACATATTCGGTCCGGCAGTATTAGTCAAACAACAAAACCGACCCGTAGTAATTACTGCCGAACATTCATCTACATATATTCGATTTTACCGGCCGGCTGTGCTAATTAATGCCGACCAGCTTGTGTGTAGCTACCCTCAGGAAACACACTCATCTTTCCAATATAAGTGCAGTCAATGACGATTTCAACACTGAAAACTTAATTGTTTTTACAGATATAACTTACAATCGTTGCACAGAAACCAAAGTGTATAAACTGTTGGGCTTAGTGACGTAATTAATAAGCTAAGCACTTCACATGGGTATTCGTATTTGCTATTTGACATCAGTATATCCTTATCATGTTCTTTATGGAATGAAAAGGAGAGGAGATCCATATGAAGTGCCAACAAAAACACTTAAAGTTGGAGGAGGCTATCTCCGAATATTCACGAGAAGTTGCCATAAGATTAATTTGCTGAAAACCGAACTTGCCATTTCACAACTTACTGAGCGAGACACGATAATAAAGGGCTAAGCGAGCACTGCTTCTCTGTCAATGTAGCTGTATGTATTAAAGTTTATTAGTTCAGACATTATATACTAGTATATCTGAAATTACAACATAAAAGGATAGACAACATAAAGATATACATACGCTTTATAAAAATTATAACATCAATCGTAATTCACGAGTGGTGAAAAGTAAAAATAACATAAAATGAATTTTAATGTACGTACTTAGTACTTAGGTAATTAAACAGCAGTGCGTGCTTTACCCGACCATGAAGATGTTAACAAAGCTGCGAAACTTAACAATGCACAAACAGAGAGCTTCATTTATATTTATATACCCTCATAATAATTACAAAATTTAGTTTATGGACAAATAAGAAATTTTAACGTGGATGTCAATATTTGCGGTTAAAATTTAATATTTGCATTACAACGTTGCAACCAGCCAAGCTAAAGAATATTTTATCATAATCTTTTAGCTAAAAACCCATACCACAATGCCACAATATTTTACTTAATAATGGTATGACTATTGTCAATCTTAAAAGTCTTAATTATAAATTACTTAACCTTAGCTTGACTGATAGGAGCTTTGCATTTAATTTAAATCCTGCTTAGGCACACTGTGAGGACGTCCACACGGCCCGTGCCACTTCAAGAAACCAGTTGCTGGCGTCTCCTTACGTCTCATATTCTCCTGGTACTTTGATATTAAACTATATTTTATAAACATTAAATAAGTACAATTATAAAATTCTTTGACTATACTCACCTAACTAAACGTGAATGATAGGTATACTAAATATTACAGAAACCTAAGATACTTATTAATTAATAATTCTTCATGTATACCTAATCAATATTGTGCATACTATGCACTTAATGGAATGGGGCTAACCTCAACAAGTTAAAATCCCATAAGATTACTGACGACGTTACTAATGGTTAAATAAGTTATAATTAATTTATCCCTTAACAAACGCAGGATTTCCACATTAAACAATTTCGAAACCACACTCAGAGATATCTTTAGCTTATCAAGATATTTTAATATTAGGATTTTTTCATATTTATTTATTTATCCATTGTCAAACATGTTTGACTAGCCATGCCACGAAATTGATTCTCTTTTTTAAGAATAATAATTAATAGTAATCTATTGGCCCTGTTGGATTAAAATATGAGTTAACATTGAATTGATAAATGGAAAGAGAATGAGACAATCGCCTTCTGACCTCTGGTTTCTTGACGCTTGATGCCAACTATCACATATGATGTCCGAATTAATATTGCATTTACACTTATAAGCCACATTTTTTATACACAATTTCACTTTTAACCATTATTGACTTTTATAACACATACTGTTAGAAATTGACAACACCTATGTATATAGACGATTTTGTACAGAGTTCACTACAGTAGGTATCTGCAGTCATCACAGATAATATAGAAAAAATAAACTTTCATCTTGTTAGTCTATACATAACAAGTACACTTTTAGCCCTACCCTACGATTCACCAGTATAACTGATTATGTGACTGAAAACTGTATCTGTTAATTACTTACAATCTTAGAAGTCGCTAAAAAGAACTACAGCAAATACCCTTTTGTTTTTCACTATGAAACATGATATTCATTAGTAGGACGTCGAAAAACCGAATCCGCTCCAAAATGAGGTTTTTGACTAAATTTTGCTCCCTAAAATTACTAACAATAAATAAAAATTAAATAATGGATTTACATTCACTTCGATAACTATTAAATTATTGTATGCGATCACAATGGACTACGGTATAAATAGAAAAATACAACGGTCTACACACCAGCGGTGATGTTGCACTGCGAAAGTCCACCGCCACATTCGCCACTTCACCGCATTTCAAAAATATTGCATTCAAAATAGTTACGCGACCTTAATATAAGACGTGCGTCAAAAACTCTGTCGCATTCACTCCCTAGCACGTCGCGCCGAGGAAAAAAGAAATACTGCGCTACTGTTTGAACACAGAAACGTCACTCGCACCGAATTTATTGCTAACAGAATACTTTGGCAGTATTTTATCTTCGAAAGAAGCATAATGTTGACTGAGCCGGTTTTCACATAATCTCCGTACGAGAGCACACCCAGAATGCTGCAAGAATTAGGTCTGTAATATAACGGATTATTCTTTGAAAGTTCTTAAATTTAGGAACGCCGAAACGTCAGTGTCCACATGTCCAAGAGTATAGCCACCACTGACGATATTTTGTGAGATATTTATAATTAATAATAGTTCGGACAATGCCTCGAATCACCTGGACAAGAAGAATCGAACAATGCAAGTTTTCTATTCCGATAATAAAACTAGCTAGATAGACTTGCAACGGGATTTTGCAGTAACAAAGTCCGAGATCCCGAAAAATTTCTCTCAGATTCTTCCAAGATGCTTCCTAGGATTGGTTGATATTGCGGGGTTCAATATGCCCGTTTTCCGTGTTGGAGTGCCAGGCGTCCATAAACTTCAATAGGTGCATGTGAGGGCGAACGCACCTATCTCCTGGACAATTCGCGGATAATTCAGCTACAGATTGGTTAAATTTTAAAGTTGGTTCCCTGTTCCCGAGTCGGAGTACCAGACACCTATAATATGCTAGTACATGATGCATCTATCTTCGGAACAAAAACGCCAAGAGCCGGTTCGGATGTTTCTTCCATACTGCTGAGAATTAATTATGCGCCCGTTTTCCGTGTGAGAGTACCAGGCGTCCATAGTTCCCAGCAGGTGGTAGCATCTCGCGGTCGGAGTGAAAGCTTTAGTAAGTGCATGTAATCTATCTGCTTGCCACGAACCCCTGCGTCACTTCAGTGGGTGCATATGAGAGCGCGGGCACCTGTCTTCGGGCCACAAACGCGCGCTTGTTCTCTGTGCGCGAGTACCAGGCGTCTATAAACCTCAGCGGATAGCAGTGCGGGCGAGGGCACCTATCTTCTGGCTACAAACACCCACTTGTTCCCCGTGAGCGAGTACCAGGCGTCCATAGTCCCCAGCCCCCGGTGGCGGCATCTCGCAGGCGGGCTGGAAGCTTCAGTAGGTCACGAACGCCCATATGAGCCCCGTCCGCGAGTACCAGGTCTCCATAAGCTTCAATAGGTGGTGTGGTCAATCTTCTGGCTACGAACGCGCGCTTGTTCCCCGTGCGCGAGTACCAGGCGTCCATAGTCCCCAGCAGGTGGCTGCATTTCGCGGGCGGGGTGGAAGCTTCAGTAGGTCAGGAAACACTCGTGTGTTCCCCGTCCGCGAGTACCAGCTTCAATAGGTGGTCTGGTCTGGCTCTATCTTCTGGCTACGAACGCGTGCTTGTTACCCCGTCCGCGGGTAACAGGTCTCCATTAGCTTCAATAGGTGGTCTGGTCTATCTCCTGGCTACGAACGCGCGCTTGTTCCCCGTGCGCGAGTACCAGGCGTCCATAGAGTGCAGCAGGCGGTGCGTTGGGCGGGCGGCGGCGGGGGCGAGGGCGGGGGCTGGGCATCACGCGGGCGGGGAGGGCGCGCGGGCGGGGAGCGTGGGGGCGGCGCTCACCACCACCACGGGCTTCACAATGGTGGTGGCGCTCAGGTACTGCGCGCTCACTGTTAGGGGTTGTACGTTGCCTTTCACCATTTGCGTTTCTACCATCTGCAAGTAAAGTTCGAATGATTAATCATCATCAGCCAATTAATGCCCCTTCTGTTGGGGCACAGGCTATCCCTATGGATGGGATAGGGAAATTGGGCCACGACTCTCCACGCGGACTGAGCGCAGATCGGTGTGTTCTAAAGACTGCAGATGCAGCCGGGATCAAGCTTAACGTGCTTTCCGAAGAACGGAGAAGCTCGAGATAGTAAATTTTTGGTCACCTATCCAAAGACCGACTGCCTTGCAGCCTAAGAAATACTAGAGGAACTTCGACACGGACAATTGGGGCCGCGGTATCATAATGGTCAGTACATCCGCCCGGATAGCGGACGGTGCGGATTCTAGTCCCGTCTGCTGCCTGGTCCGCGTGGCTTCTTTTCGAGTAACACTTTCTTTGGATTTAAACATATAGCAGTTAAATGCTTTAGAAATAAAAAGTATAATAAAAACATTGTCAATATCCATACCTTATGCGTGAGCGTATGCGTGTGCAGCAGATGAGCGGCGGCGGGCTGAGATACAACAAGCGGTGTTAATCCGCTTACTACCACGCCACCGCCTTCTGTCACAATGGAAATAACACATTGTGTTACTTGTGTATAGGTAGCAACGATATTAAATACCCTAGACACACCAACACGAACGAAATCGTGCCCTAAACCTGTCCAAAAAGTACATTGGACGATCCACGGAGCTCCGTAAGATGATCGCGTAATCAAAAACAATATAATGCATTATTTGAACATTGAAAGTCACCTTTAATGTATGTACAAGGTCTTAATTAAAACGCATGCGTCAAAGAGCGAATTGCAAGCTCGTAAAATTTTACAGCTTATTGCTTATGCGGAAGAATAAAGACCTTATTTCTTCGACTCTATGCGCAATTCTGAATGCGCTGTTAGCAATATAGCAGGTACAGGTCGCATCATGTAAAAACAACGTTGGAAGAAAGTGGAGGGATTGTGTTTGCGCATGGGTACACTCGCACACAAAAGTACTAGTTCTTTTGTTTGAAATAATTATTAATTTGCTTGCGCTCGCAGCATCGTATATTGATTATTCCAAGGTACATGGCAAAAAATATTAGAACATTATTAAATAAAATTAAAACATGTTTAATTCAGTGCAGAATGTTTAATATTTATTAATAGAAGCTTGTAAAAAATTAAAGTAATGTTGCAACTCCTTCCATTAGGTCGTCCTGGGTGAGATGAAAACCAGATGAGGAAGGTAACTTCTTTAGGAACTTGCCTATAGTACCTAGGCAATTCTTTTTCAGTGACGTGGCAAAACTATCAATGTATGTAATTGGTTTTTGTCTAATTCTTTTGTTTTTGTCTGGAGTTCGGAAGACAGTAAGAAATTTCGAATCATTCGAACCTTTTACAATTAGTCTCACTGTAGACTCGTGAAGATTTTGTTACCTCTGCGGTCCGTTTCATACATTGTTTTATATTAACAACTGCATTATCCTCTGCAGCCTCTCTCTTCATAAAACAATAAACGTCATAAATAAATTTTCTTACTTTTCTATGTAAAACCATTTCAAATTTAAAACTTTTGTGCGCGATGGTATTTTGAGAGCAAACGAAATGACTAAGAAAAAAGTTAGTCAGAATCCTTATTTGTTTTTTTTTTTGGGTTTTCATTGTGCGATGGAAGTCAATTCATATTTAAAAGTTTGATGTCATCTTTCAAATTTACCTCACAAATGAAATAAAACAGATGGGGAGAAAGCACTCCTTGCTGAGTTTCTTGCTGGCTCTACTCAGTCCAAGGTCTCCCGCCGTAGAATTGCGAACCGATGGCGTAATTTTCGACTTATAAATGTGCTAGTAAAAGCCTAAACTTAATTAATGAATTTTGATTTGATATGCTCGCGTACATGATACTTCCTTCCTACAATCCGGGTCCTTTAAAAGGGGCATAAAGAATTATTTGTACAGGCTGGCAAAGTGACAGTGGTTTGTGTGGCAGTTCATAACTGCTGTACCAGCTATCTTTGCGTCCAGACTATCATAATCATAAAGAGATAGACAGATAGATAAATCATTTATTCCCATCAGTACAGCACACAAATTAAGTTAACAATAAGAAGAATTAATTACTAAATATGTAACTGTGTGCCGCAACGACAGAAAAAGGCAAAAACTCAGCGATACCTTTGCTCTGAGAGCAAAGCACTGGTTTTCAGTTCTGCCTAGAAAGCGCGTAACGTGAAAAGACACTGACGTGATTAATACAAGTAGATTATTTAATTATTATTGTTATTATAACAAATTATTTTGTGTTTTATAAATACTTATTCATTTGATATAATATATTCATTTGATTTATTTTGCTCAACGAATTAGTTTGGCGATACAGCGAGGCAACGCTGCCAGTCTTCTGGGGACTGTGTCCGCGAACTCAATGAAATACTTAATTTGTAATTATTGTTGTACCTTTTGCTGTTATTATAACTATATAATATGTTATTAATATAACTTCACCAAAAATAATTCATTATTACAACAGAATATGGTAACAAATAGTGATACAGAGAGAAAGAGCATCCTATTTTCGTACCCAATGGGGTGTGCATATCAATTACTATCCCACTACTATAATTACGTTTAATTCCTTGCCTATCTCAATACATTAAAAAAAACAGAGGCCAAACCACGAATTTCGAGACCGGGCTTAAGCCTTGGGTCTATAAACTTTTCCACTAAAACCCTAACATAATGGTGTCAATCTAGCATGATTCTCTAAACTACAACTTATCATCAGTTATATACAGTTATCACCACTATTCCTACACGAACAAAGAAATTTGGTAACTCATTTCTTTGTCGTACTATTCGTAAGTAGAATTCTTTGCCCGCGCAAGTGTTCCCTCCTTCCTATAATCTGGGGTCCTTTAAGAGAGGCGTGAAGAAGCATTTTTGCAGGCCGGCAAGGTAAGGATGATTGGTGTAGCAGTTTATAACTGCTGTACTAGCTATCTTCGCGTTTGGACTTTATTACCACTTAACATCAGGTGGGGTAGAGTTTTGAATTTGCCTACCTCTATATAAAAAAAAGCAGTATCTCCTTTTCATTGTGTATAGAGAATGACAAGGATACACCGTTGTCAAATTTTATTTTAGATTTAGAGATTCATGCCAGAATCGACACCAATTTTTATACAAAATGTAATAAAAATTATACCTGTCGACACAGGTGTTGTTGCCACGAGACCGTTTTCTTTATGCGTTCTATGGTTATCCCCTGTTACGCCTGGAAATAAAATAGGGATTTTAAAAAAAAACTTATTTTTCTAAAACTCCGCACAGGTAATGTGGGTTCGAATTAAATTTAATAATTAATAAAATAATATAATAATAATTTTAAAACTTTTTTGTTGCAGGTCGGCCAGTGTTGCATCTATGGGAATTTCGTCATGGACATACAGAACAGCATGAAGTGAGCGGCACTCGCTTGAAATTGAGAAATCACGTGAAAGAGAGGGAGCGATGGTGCTGCCAATACCTAAAGTTATACTTTACACCTGGATAGGAAACGCTTAGTCCATTTTTTATGTCTATAACAAATATTAATCGCAAGTAAAGATCCTAATTTTTTAGAGATAAGTCTCTGCAAAGGCTTTACTCAGAGACATTAATATAGGTTTGAATAAACTAGGGTTTCAGTCATTTCACCGAACCCTCGGGCTTGGCTGGAAATGAGTAGGGATGAGACCTCCCAATTCTTCGGTTAGCAAGACGGGGCAGCTGAGTGTGTAGTACAGCAGGGTACGTAGCAGAATAATTAATCAATTGGGTAGCAGGAGCGCATCATAGTTTGTAGATGAATGGGTAGCAGGGTAACTTTTTTGGTTCCTTGTCTTGAAAGACAAACAATCTACGGACTACGAGCAATACTGTGTTTAGATATTGGTACTTTTTTATTTATCATACGTCTTTATAGAATTATTTTTCTTAAGATTGTGAATGAGGGTGGGTTGAGCGTGGTCAGAAGGATACACACCCTGCTAACCGCTCTCAACTCAACCCACCCTAAAGTATCAGGGCGTCATGACTCACCGTTGGTGTGTATGGGCGCCTGCAGCACGCGCAGCCCGCCGCCTGCTGACAGCAGCTGCAGCGATGCACCGCCCACTACCAGACCGTCGCTGCCTACTAACCAATGTTACCCCACTCCCAAGTATCAGGTCGTCATGACTCACCGTTGGTGTGTATGGGCGCCTGCAGCACGCGCAGCCCGCCGCCTGCTGACAGCAGCTGCAGCGATGCACCGCCCACTACCAGACCGTCGCTGCCTACTAACCACTGTTACCCCACTCCCAAGTATCAGGGCGTCATGACTCACCGTTGGTGTGTATGGGCGCCTGCAGCACGCGCAGCCCGCCGCCTGCTGACAGCAGCTGCAGCGATGCACCGCCCACTACCAGACCGTCGCTGCCTACTAACCACTGTTACCCCACTCCCAAGTATCAGGGCGTCATGACTCACCGTTGGTGTGTATGGGCGCCTGCAGCACGCGCAGCCCGCCGCCTGCTGACAGCAGCTGCAGCGCTGCACACCCCACTACCAGACCGTCGCTGCCTACTAACCACTGTTACCCCACTCTCAAGTATCAGGGCGTCATGACTCACCGTTGGTGTGTATGGGCGCCTGCAGCACGCGCAGCCCGCCGCCTGCTGACAGCAGCTGCAGCGCTGCACACCCCACTACCAGACCGTCGCTGCCTACTAACCACTGTTACCCCACTCTCAAGTATCAGGGCGTCATGACTCACCGTTGGTGTGTATGGGCGCCTGCAGCACGCGCAGCCCGCCGCCTGCTGACAGCAGCTGCAGCGCTGCACCGCCCACTACCAGACCGTCGCTGCCTACTAACCACTGTTACCCCACTCTCAAGTATCAGGGCGTCATGACTCACCGTTGGTGTGTATGGGCGCCTGCAGCACGCGCAGCCCGCCGCCTGCTGACAGCAGCTGCAGCGCTGCACACCCCACTACCAGACCGTCGCTGCCTACTAACCACTGTTACCCCACTCTCAAGTATCAGGTCGTCATGACTCACCGTTGGTGTGTATGGGCGCCTGCAGCACGCGCAGCCCGCCGCCTGCTGACAGCAGCTGCAGCGCTGCACCGCCCACTACCAGACCGCCGCTGCCTACCACCTAAACGAGACATAATTCGAGTTTATACTAATAGTCTTGGTATATTTTAACTTATTTTAACGTCGGCTCTAGAATGCACTTCCTTTGAACGTGCGCAACGCTCCCAGTAGGATTGTGTTTAAGACTTCGGCGCGGGAACATTACCTCAATCTATTGCATAGTGCTTAATTTCAATCAGAATACTGTAATCCGACACAGTATATGTGTTAATGTATGTGCGTATATATGTTAGATATTTATTGAAGTTATACTTCTTTAGGCGCGTTATGAAAAAATTATGAGAGTGAAATTTTAAGATGCGCGCGCATCACTGTACCACAACATAATGAAGTTGGTCGCTTTAGCGACCAACTTCATGCGTTACTTTTGTGTTTACCGCACATTAAGAAAATCTACCAACAAAATAGAAATAGAATCTCTATTTTGTCGGTGCTAACGACTGCATTGTGAAGGCCTATCAAAAGTATTTATTAATCTGGAACAACGGAACCAAAGCGCGATTCAGGAGACTACAGCGCCATCTCTTGACCATTGGTGTAGTAGAACCAAAAACCACATCTTTATTTTTTGTAATAAAGTAACAAAAAGTATTTATTAATCTGGAACAACGGAACCAAAGCGCGATTCAGGAGACTACAGCGCCATCTCTTGACCATTGGTGTAGTAGAACCAAAAACCACATCTTTATTTTTTGTAATAAAGTAACAGTTATAGGTATTCATATTTATAATATTTATCCACATGTTTCTAGTTTGTATATTCGGAATACGTGTTTGAGTTTCATACAAGTACAAATCACATATGTTCTAATAAATTATATTCAGTAGCGATTTTAATTGAATATTTTGATTATTTATTTATTTTTTCAAATTAAAACTGAACTTTATTGACTTCGTCCTTTTCCAGACTTTTTATTAATTTATTGTAATTAATTATTTGCATGCAATTAAAAACTAATTTTAAACGATGCCAAAGAAGGATAACTTCTCACGCGCCTACATAAGTACACGCACCCATTTATTTATTTATATGTGTTTATATGTATATTTAGATAATAATTATATAAGTATGACCGTATGTATAGTTAAGTGTTAATATATTTGCTCATTGTTTGACTTTAATCTCTCTTCTGCCGTTTTTTTAGCTCTTTCCAGTTGACTAGTAGAGAATGCCATATTGGCATTAAGTCCGATATGTGCAGTGTAAAGGCAAAAGATATTAAATAAATAAATAGAATTTCATTTAGTTTTACCCCGTCGCTGTTGTCATCCCTATACTAGCTGCGTCCTTCTTTTTCACACGCGTCAATTTAAATAAAAGACCTACTAAGTATTATTTGTTAAGCAAGGTTGCAATGTTTTAGTAGAACTTATATTGAAACCTGGGTGTCGATTCTGCGAAGCTACCGTAATAAATGTGTCTCAATAGTATCGTTTTGACATAGTTTGTGTTACTGTAACATAGAATAACAAATGTTTAATCATTGCGACAAAAATTGGCTAAGGAATATATTTGTTGTTTTGTGTTAAGTTACAAGAACTATTTCAAATGTTGTAAAATCAAAAGTCCTGAAACACCATTGTGATACTCAACTATTACTATAAAGGAGATAGCCATAGCCACAGATAAGAACAAACATGTTTATAGAGCTGCCATTAGTTTTTTTTATCGAAGTAATGAATTATATTATATTTAATTTATTTCAAAATAATTGGGAATAACTAAAAATTTCATTCGTGCATTCCATTTAAAATTCATATTTTTATAGCTTTTAATTTGATGTAGTTTGGTTTTCGTTAGTTACCGCTTAAAACACCCAGCTTCTTGTAAAACGAGGGCATCTCCTTTGGGGCCGTCCATTAATCTCGTGATGTTTTTTTGGCATATTTAACTTTTTTATTAAGTTTAAAATTTTTCAGCAAAATTGAACCATCGTTCTGAATGGTTTCGGCAAGTTTTCACTGGATTCATAATCGAATGTATCGAGTGCGTGGTCCTTTGAAGCGTTTCCTTTAAAAACTTTTGGAGCTTGTGGTGAAAAATATAATTTTGTTAGCTGTACCGCGCGGTAACACCCACGATAATTAAAGAAAAACCCCTACTATAATATATTGTACTCAGACCCATCTTTCCCAGTGAGCACTTTGGGCCCAGGGCCCCGTGATCGATAGATGGGCACCTCAGATCACAAATACAAAGTCCCTAGTTTTTGTTAGATCACCAAACGGGGGTCATAGGGGCTCCATTATCCTAATAAGCCCAGGGCCTCCAATAGGTCAAAGACGGCACTGATTGTACTGCATTTAGTAGCAATAATGCATTGTTGCTAAGGTGCAATGATGCAGAGGCGATCACGTTACATTACGGCAACACTGACTAACTTGTACAGATTGTTTCTAATGAATCATTGAAGCTCTTCGCTCAGTTCATTTACTACAAATTTTTTTTTGCAGTTTTCAATGAATAATATGTGTAGTTTATTTCGTTTTCCTACTGCATTATTTAATAAGGTATCGAAAATTGTGAAAGCAAAACAAGATTACGTGCGCTTACAATTTACCCTCGCGATGAATCAACCAAACAAACAAACTCTTCGGCTTTATGTTATTATAGTAAGTATAGATTATTTCTCGCCCTCTATAGGTACTAAATATTTCTTAGGGTCATAATTTTTAGGGTTCCGTACGAGGGTCAATACGAAGCCCTATGCTGTCATATCACGTGTTCTTGTGCCCGTCGTCTGTCACACATGTTTTACAGCTAAACGACTTGAGCTACAATCTTCAAATTTTCACAGTAAGCAATTTTTTTTTATGTTTTAAGGGGTTCCATACAGCTGTTTAGAATATCAAAGGGGACGCGAAATGCAATGGCCTATCTATCCCATCGAATGGGTATCTTTGTTTGAAGTTCGTCGAGTAGATGAATATTGTATACTTTGCTTTAAAAAATAAAAGATGACAAATGAATGAAAAACCACCAAAGTCCGAGTTTTTTACGAAATTTTCTAGGTTGAAAAAGTGTTTTGTTAAATTTTGTTATGAAAAATTTTCAAGGTTTCCCTTATAATTTCGCCCGTCAGCGATTTAGCTCAGTTGGCGTTAGACTAAAAATCTGCAATTTGTCATGGATATACAGATCTCTGTATAGGTCTTTTAAACATACTCGCATTACGTGTAAATTTAAATCTTCAAAAAATTTGCGTTATGGAAAAGATTCGTGCATAAATCTTAACTATGGTACTCACTTGTGATATGGGAAGGTGAATCTGCGTTGGATGCATTAAAGTACTAAGCGTATTTGTCACACCATTCTCTGGTTGTCCGTTCTGGAAACAAAACATATTTGTTTCAATAAATTTGAGGCAGTTTGTTTACCACAAATAAATATTTTCAACACTCACACCAATTAGCCAAGCCCCAAAGTAAGCACTGTAAGGTTTGTGTTATGGGATGCTAGGGTAACGGATAGAATACATATACTGTACATTTATAAGCATATTTATATAGAAATACATGACATCCATGACTGGAGTACAAATGCTCGTATTCATCACGCAAACATCCGCCCCACCGGGATTCGAACCCGGGAACTCTAGAGTCGGTGACACCATGAAACTCGGCGTACAAACCACTCGGCCACGGAGGTCGTCTAATTTATCAAACCATACTCCGCTATGTTTGGATTCAAATGCCGAAAAGTTCTTAATCTTCTATCAAAAGGATTCTATAGAATTGGCTTTGAATGACTAAACAAGCGAGCCAATGCGGATTGATGGGTGCAAACGACAATAATACAGTAGGGACCATCGACTTAGTCTTTTTGACACCCATCCTAAAACTTGATATTGCGAAGGTTTTTCTAGTAAAAGTTCTTTTAATGAAATTATACTTTATTCAAAATGACTTTCTTTTGAATCGCCCAATATTTTTTCCTACACACCCATTCAGGACTGACCATTAATAGCTGATGAGAAGAATGGGCGCAAGAAACTCATTAGCATTTACACAGAAGTAGCAATATTTAGAAAAAAAAACATGTCGCTACTAATACAACGTCCACCCGCATTTTGATTGCTGTATTTATTATATATAAACATCTAGCAGTTAAATGCTCAAAATAACAAAATATAATAATTGCTATAGTTGCATAAGTTTCACGGTCGCAAACACGGTAACCACTGCCATCGAATTCCTCTCACTTGATTATATAGTCAAAAATATTATTATTTTCTTCTCCATTTTACCTGAGTTGCCGAATCCGCCGGTGCGAGTGTAGTTAATGTGAGCGTGTTATGCCTCGAACCGTATGAAGTCCGCACAACCTGCAAATATTAAAAAATGTGTTCTAGAAATCGTAGGCCAAGCGCTTTAATATAATAAGTTTTTTTTTTAACCTTATTTATTTAATTAAATATGTACTTGATAATATCTTATTTAATTGATTTGCTAATGTTCTGTTTTTATTGTAATGTAATATAATTTCATAAATGTAATATATGTAATACATATATTTAAATCAATTGTAAGTAATTTTATCAATTTGTTTTTATTTGAATGAATTTAATTTAATGCAATGTAACAGTTAATATCGATATATTGTCCTTTGTTTTATATTCCGAAATTTTTTGTGTATGCATGTTAAGTGTTGCAATTTTGATCGATTCCTCAATTATTATAAGTTAGTACTTTGTTGATTGTAACATGTTATGTATACCGAATAAATAAAATAAAATAAAATAAAATTCAATGAAAGAGGTTTAATAAATAAATAAATAGTTCCAACACTCACACCAATTAGCCTAGCCCCAAAGTAATCACTGTAATGCTTGTGTTATGGGACGGATGGTAATGGATAGAATACATATATAAGTGTATTTATATAGACATACATATTAAACATCCATGACTGGAGAACAAATGCTCGTATTCATCACACAAACATCTGCCCCCACCGGGATTCGAACCCGGGACCTCCCTAGTCGGCGACACCATGAAACCCGGCGTGTAAACCACTCGGCCACGGAGGTATTCATTAACCTTGGTAGACGAGTAAAGTAAGGAACAGAAACAGGTCAAGTTATACGAAACTGACAACTTCTCAAACTGACTTTGAAGTTTATTCATTTGACGTAAGATTCACTATCGATTGAGAAGTTTATAATAATTTTCGACCTGTGGAAAAAGTGAAATTGTCCTTAATGACCTCGCCCGTTTTCTTAGGCAGCTGTGGCTAGTTATTAATTTATTAATCAGTGAATAATACCTTGATAGGGCTTGTTTTTTTACCTAATACTATACCAGCACTGTTTTATTTTTGTGCATATTATTTTTTCTGCAATTCTACAATTTTATTCATTTGTTGGTGGTTTTATTCGTGTTCTATTCATTTTCTTATATTAAGTACTTAATGTTCTATGTAGGCTTTACTATACTTTACTTCTTTCTTAAATTGATCGATTCTAAAAATTTATCCCACCGTTGTCAGTCAGTAAGTTACCCGATTGAAATGTCAGTCACCAAATTATATCATTATAGATTGCAAAATGTAAAAGCCATATAAAAACGTAGCAATATAATTGCGCATGTCTCTAAGTACATGGATACCATTTCAATGTTTATGTACTTGAAAAAACCTTCTCTCTGTCATTGGAAATATTATGAGTACATTCCACTACTTGTCTTATTGTTTTAAAGCGTTTTAGAAATAATATCGATCGGGAACAATAACAACAACAAATCGATTAATTTAAACTCATAAAAGGTAATTTATTACGTTGTACATTTTGGATCCGGACATCCAGAGACGTCCTACTCCAGTCCAGTCTAGCAGAGCTCCTGAACGTCAAAAGTAGTTTTACTAACACACGTTACTACTATCTACATGTAGGTATGAAAGTAATTTCCAAGCTCCTATTGCCATCTACCGGAACATTATATAAATGTTTCCTTCAATATGCATAGATGGCGCTGCAAGCAGCATTAGCAACTTTTCTCCTGAGTTTAACTCTCCTAATCCAAGATTAGTCAGCTCTAATTTGTAACGCGGTACCAGGAGTGCATACCTGCGAAGTGGTTGGCGTTATTTGGATTGGCAACGTGCGCAACTTCGTGCTTAAGTTTAGGGTGCGGGGGGGAGACGCTTCCATTCGTGCTACGGATCGCGGCGGCGAAGAGGTAATCTGAAACGGAAAAGTACTTGTAACCAAAACATCGCGAAATTATGTACTATTGCATAATAATTGAATTACGCGCTACTCATCATTTATATTGAATTATTATTTCATTTGCCGATTGAGTACAAGCTCGTAAATTGGTGATTTAGTTACGTAAGTAACTTACACTTATAGGAATTCCTAAAACTTGATTAGTGATAGTTTCGTCCCTATCTTTGTCTTCACAAGTAGGATCTGAAATAAACAAATAACTTTATTTACTTCTACTAGTTTAAATGAAAAAAAACATGATATTTCAATTTCTAAATGTTTATCTCGTTTATGCTAATTAAAAATAACAAGCGATTACTACAACTAGACAGCGCTACTTGCATAGAGTAGTGTTAAACTGCTGTTTTGAATAACGGAAAATACGTCAAAGCTGCTAACGTGCATTATTAGTGCGAAGACGGCTTTAATAATAATAAATATATTTTGTTTATTTATTAAGTTTTATTGGCTTGGTCATAAGCGCCAAATATTAAATAATCTCTACCACGTGTACTAGGAGCGCATGATACGCGCGGAGGTAAACGTACCGATACTCCTAGGTCGAACAGAGGCGCGCACGGACACCTCTCTCTTGAGAGCGGCGAGGCGTTGTTGCGCCGCGATCTTTTCGCGAGCCAGTCGCTCCATTTCGTGCTCACACTCGCGCTCCTTGCGTCGTAGCACCTGCGAACAAAGTACCAGGGGCACATGAAGCGGGAGGAAATATTCGTTTAGATATAAAACACCGGGCTCAAACAAATTGTGTGTTTCAGATGTTTTTGTTAGTTTTCTTGTGATGGCCCCTTAAATCACAGTCACATTTCTATAACACAAACACACATTCATTCGTAAATCAAATTTATTTATTGCTGAAACTGTTGATAAAGTTCGCAATATTCAACGAACCCATTCGATTTGATGACTATAGAAACAAATTTGAGAACGTTAAACAAAGAACAAAAACGAAGTACATCGATGGTACAGTGAATAGGCACCAAGTCAATAAAACAGCTTACCTATTCAAATGAAAAAATGAAAATTTAACAATGAAATACGAAATGAAAAGTTGGGACGAACTCGTAAGGAAGCCATACAATAAGCTCATTAAAAAATATTCTGACCAAAGTATATTGACATGTTTTCAACAAACATTTCTCAATGGAGAAGTCTTAGAAAATAAAACATGGTTACGTTATTGAACGTTACTTCGCTCTTTTATGTGGCCCTAGTAGCTTCGTAATTCTTCTTTGCAAAAAACACGTTTGCTTTTGAAATTTCTTCCTGAAAGAAGCAAAGTTAGTTAAGAAATCATTGCTTTCTTTACTTTCTTTGAAAGGTTTCAGACAAAAGGTACTTAATACAGAGAAACAAATTATGAAAAAAATATTTATTTATTTCAATGGGCGTTTAATTTATTTGCCCCACATTCACCTTAATATATTCGAAATGGAAGATGTTGCTAAGTTAGCTAAACATCTTGTTCCAGATTGTAGTATGCAGAACTTTATTGTTTATAAATTTTCATGTACAAGTATGAAAGATTTGCCAGTACTAGATTTCCAAATTAATAACACGTGATTATCGATTGTTACAATTAACATAGGAAATACATATATTATTATACAAAACCACTAACTAAATAAATTTATATTTCTTACACACACCAATAAGCCTAACATCAAAGTAAGCACTGTCAGGCTTTTGTTAAGGGATACTAGGTTAACAGATATAATACCTACTTATACTTCAACATATATAAGTATATTTGTATTTAGAAATACATAAATTATAGGTACGAATGCTAGTATTCATCACACAAACATTTGTCCCACTGGGATTCATACCCGGGACCTTTGAGTAGGCGACACCTTGAAAACCGCCGTATACCACTCGCTACGGAGGTCGTCAAAGTTTAAGATCTCTCCTGATATATATGTTACAGTTAAAACCAGATTTAAGATACAACGCGTTTTCTCTAGGTTTTACTAAATGCCTTTGTTAAATCTAGAATTGACTGACGGAATATCAGTTAAAACTAGTTCTTACTAGACAACATGCATTTTTCCGAAGCGAGTCAGTTACAACAGTTCTCAATAGCCACACCACCTGAATAATCTATGGCATAATAATACCAATTTCTAACAAAATCAATATGAAACATTAATAAAAAAAGGAAACAATTTCGGATCAGGCTTTATGATTTTATACAATAAGTTTAGAATTAGATGTTTTCGTTTTTTTCCAATTACATAATTAATTTAATCATTTAACATATTTGTACGCGACGACCGAAGCGAAAGAAAATGAACTCACGACGATACGAGAGCAATGTATAAAAATGTATCTATAATTTCACATGAATCGGTTGTATACGCATTAAAGATATCATTCCCTTGTTGTCTTATTAGAATGAGTCGGATATCGCAATAATAGATAGCTCTGCCCATAGTAAACCATTGTAAAATTGATAGTTCAGAGCGATATTCCGCCTCGTTCTCTCCAATAATCTTATAAGACTTTATCTAAACGATCGCCACGACGCCAAGCGGTGGCGCGGGGAAACTAGTCAGAATACTGATAGTTCCGACCTATAGGAGGGACGGAGACAATAGGTTGTCCTTGTCACACGTCTTATAGGATTTTGCCTGAGTTGACAATTTTCGATAATAGTATGTTTTATGTTTTGATTGATTTGTATTATGTCTTATTAGATAGTAGGTAGTTATAGGAATAATATATCGAAGTTTTGTATGAATCGTGTTAGTAGTTTAAGCGTAATTAAGGAAAATATCGGGAATAGTTTTTTATGAATAGTCAATAGGATATAGGTATAATTGTTATAATAATGATGTCATTTTATGTGTTTTTACTTCTTCTTTAAAATGGTGTATGATAATTAAACATTAAGCGAGTATAAGTAGGTTTTTTAAGACTTTTTAATTTGTAAACTTTATAGGGCCGTACAGCTGTTGTTTATTAATATTCTTGTAAGAAACTTGTTGTATTAGATAGGTAACACGTAGGGCTACGTAAATAAATAGGTATCGCATCAATAAGTGTAAAAATGTGCCGTGTAGGAGAAAAAACATGTTTGTATAGAACCGTTTTCTGAGACATGTTGCGCTCCCCACCCGGCGCGCCCGGAGCGCGCGGGTGGGGCAGCGAAGCCCCGTGGCAGGGCGAAGCCCTATGGAGGGGGAAAGTATAAATATTGCGGAGACCTATTTTTTGCGCGCCACACCTAAAATATCGTGTTTACGGACACATAACTATGTTAAAAATATGCCCAAATGTATGCCCGATGTATGTACAATTAGTTTTAAGCTCGCACTATTGTAAATTTTGAGAAAATGAAAAATAAAGTATAGCGTGGGTGAGGTAATGGATCGCTGGCCAGCTCAGTCCTAGCATATAAAATTCGAGTCGGAACATGCCCCGACATGCATTCAGCGACAGGCGCTCCTACCCTAAGGAACAGGAAGAAACAACCAAGCGGTTCACTCTGGACCTGAAGCCTCCTCTCACCGGCCATCCATTATCAGCGCCCACCGATTTCTTCAATACCGAACACCAGGGGTTTTATTCGCCGAAACTACAGTCCACTACAGTCAAGACTCCTGCGTGTAACTTCCTCCACCCCCTCAGTACGAGTCGGTAACTGTCCGCTACTGCGACAGCCCGGCGTCCCGTACATTTTTTGGTCGCATCGAGCCGGATCTACAGCGCCGAGGAAGAATTGAAGAAAAATTATAGAAGATTGAAGAAAGAAGATCGTCGTGGTCAATTATAGAAGATTGAAGAAAGAAGATCGTCGTGGTCAATTATAGAAGATTGAAGACAGAAAATTGAAGAAAAATTATAGAAGATTGAAGAAAGAAAAATGCCACGAACAAGATCTCAAGCTGACAAAATGGACCAGGCCGAAGAGGAGCGCATCGAGAGAAGCATCGAAGAGCCAGAGCGAACCGCTGCAGGAGAGAATCCTGTCCAACCCCCGTCAAGAGCGCCATCGGAAGGGAGCGACACCGTGACGCGGCCACCGTACCCGCTGCGCCACGACCAACCGCCGAAGTCGCCATCAGCTGCAATGACATCACACCGAACAGAATCGAAGATAGCTGCACGAAGAGCAGCAAAGAAGAAGCGCCTGGCGGCGTTATATGAAGAATTAGAGAAGACTATAAGGGCGAAGATACGAATGGAAGAGCAAGATAGCGAAGATGAGGACCAAGAGGACCCGCAAATAGAAGATAGAAGAGAAACCGATAGCACACATGGCACCGAGAATGAAGAACGCGTCATCACCTGGCTGGACACAGCGACAAAGGACACCACCCCCGACGGCGGCACCACCGAACCGTATAGAAGACCGACCGTCGAGGACACCGTACAGATTGGTGGGTCCGTCGCACCACTTGCCGAAGATCCAGTCCCAGGGGCGCTGAAGCCATGCATTAAGAAGAGTCCGCCGTCCCGTATTGATGAAGCTCAAGAACAAGTCGCCCCTACGTTGCCGCCACCGCCACCGCCGGTCCAGCAAGACAGAATGAACGTCTCCGAGCTGGCCGTCGCAATCAACGCCGCCGTCCGTGCCGCCGTACCGCCTGCACCGGGTCCACGCTACGTCGGAGAGCTGCCACCCTTCAGCGGCGCGCACACAGAATGGCTCACCTTCAGGGCGGCGTACCTAGAATCCGCAACCTACCTATCGTCGGCGGAAAACTCATCAAGATTAAGAAGAGCCCTCAAGGGGAAGGCAAGAGAAGCCGTGGGCAGCATGCTAATAAGCAACACTACGCCGGGCGACATTATGAAGCAATTGGAGCACAGATTCGGCCGCCCGGACAACATCGCCGCAACCGAAATAGAGAAGCTGCGCCATTTACCCCGACTCACCGATTCGCCGAGGGACATCGTGATTTTTGCAAACAAAATCAAGAATAGCGTCGTCGCACTACAAGTACTGGGGCAAAACGAGTACCTACGTGCGCCGGACATCATGAAGACGATTATAGAAAAGCTGCCGTCGACTATCCGCTTCAGATGGAACGATTACGTCAACAATCACCGAATGCAAGAAAAAATGAAGACGGATCCGGAACTATTGATTTTCGCCGAGTTCATCGAAGTCGAGGCAGAGAATAACGCAAGATACGCCCCACCGGAGTACATTGGAAATGAAGAAAACTCCACAACAAGAAAATTTCGAACACATAACATCGAGGCGACACATAATAGAAGAGCGCCTGAAGATCGATTCCCATGTCCGGTATGCAAGAAATCCGGACATTCGACGGCCACCTGCTTTACGTTCAAGACCGCCGATCAAGATAGAAAATGGGAAATAGCGAAGAAAAGCAACCTTTGTTTCCGTTGCTTACAATACAGAAGCAAGATGCACAGATGCAAGACGCGAGCGTGCGAGAGGGACGGCTGCGAGCGCTCACACCACCCACTTCTTCACTACAAACCGAAGTCGCAACGTGAAGAAGAACCAGCCACGAGCAACACAGAAACCGAGAGGGTGGCCAGCACACACAGCAGCCGCAAGCGAGACGCGTACTTGAAGATAATTCCGGTTCGCATTACGGGACCGAGCGGACATTTTGATACGTACGCGCTACTGGACGACGGCTCTACAGTCACACTTATAGAAGAGAGGGCCGCCGAGAAGATAGGAGCCG